GTTGCTAGCTCATTTCTCACCGGGTATTCCCATTGGGCTAGTTTGCTTTGTAAGACCATAATCCATATTCGCAGGACAACGTAAAATAAAATTTAAAAAACAATTTTTCTTTCGCAACATGAAGCGTGCATTGTCTTGTTGTTTAAATTTATATTGCTATTACCTTTTTAAGTTGGTCAATAACTTTTAATTAGCTAAATAGGCTTTTTAAAGCCCTATAATTAGAGGATTATTTTTATGTAGAAAATCTTTTGAAATTTTAAGATTTCACAGTCATTTCAAGGCGAGCTAAACAAATAGATAAAATGCTTATACAAAACAAAAAAAAAATTGCATTTTAATAGATTTTTTTCCATTAACTTCAGTTTAATAAAAAAAGAAATGTTTTATTTATTTATTAAAAAATAAAAAGTAAGTTTGAAAAAATAAAGTTTTTAATGTTATATTGTAAAAATGGATATAAATAACTACATACTGGGAATAATTTTTCTTGTTATTTTGTTATTGTGTATTTTAATTCGGATTGTAAGACCGTACGTTTCTTGTTGTTGTTTGTGCTCATGGAAACCTAAAGATGGCGAGTTAATGCTATTGGAAGAGTCGGGAGAGATAGGTACAACTTACCGCTCAATTGACTGTGGTTTATGCTACTTTGTGTATACAAAAAAGATAAGCGAGACAAAATTAGTTTGGATTCACGAAAGTTTCAAAACAAACAAAAACTTTTCTAGAGACGATGTTTGCGTAATTTGTTTAGAAAGTCTAGAGAACGACGCAACTGTTTTAAATTGCAATCATAGTTTTCATAATAAATGCATACGCAAATGGTTGTTCAAAAATGAATCAAAATGTTGCCTTTGTCCTTTATGTCAAAAAGTTATATTTTCACAAAAAATACATTTAGGTGTTTTATCCAATAGCTGTAATTATCCAATAGAATCATATCCAGTTCACCGTGGATACCATAGCATAGTTACTATTGTGTAATAGTTTAAAGAAAAAAGTTATTATTGTTAAATTCTTATATATAATAGCATCGATTAAAAATATATCAAACAAGTACATTTATTTTTTCATACAAATGTTCTTGTTCTTCAAAATACAAAAAATTTTAATCATTCTTAAAAATATTTTAACTATATTGATATTAAAGTTTTTACTTTCTTTTTAATAAGGTACTTCTACTTTGTATTTTTAACCAACTTTTTTTTTTTGCTTCTTTTTTGAGCAATGAAAGAAGATGATTTTAAAAGTTTTTTTTTAATATTAAATCAAATATTTATCAAACATTTTTAGTCTAGGATCTTAAAATTAATACTATATTTCACGTATTCAGACTAACATTTAAAAAATAGTAAAGAATGTGAATTAAAAAATAAATAATTATACAGTTGGAAAAATTTATTCTGAAAAATATCACACATATACATTCTTTCGTTCTTACCATATTAACTCGTAATTGTACTCATTAATCTCAATTAACGTTTTCACTAAAGATTTTATTAAAGCAAAACACGTTCAATTGTAAAACACATTATTTTAAAAACCCAACAAAGTGTTATAAATTGTAATTTATTGAGGTTTATATTAAATAATAGAATTTATATTTAAACCAAGTTTTTTTCATTGGCGTTTTTTTTGTTTGTTTGTTTTGTTTTGTTCGCTCTTTATTAAAATTTTTAAACAATTATATAAAAAAGATAGAATTACATATGAAGATTTTGTTAAAAAAAAAGAAAAGTAAGGTAACCTGGGGCAAAGCGAGACACCGGGGCAAAATGAGACATTTAGGTTTTCTAGCATTGTACAGATTTTTTTTGAAATGCTACAGTAATTTTGGTTAATTATATTAAAAGTTTCATGTTTTTTTAATGTTTTAAAGTAGGTTCCATCAGTTTTTTTCTATTATATGAGATAGAAAAGTGGGTTTAAAACTTACGAGTTGCGTCAATTTGATTAAAAAATCATAATTAATTTTTTTTTTTGTGGAAAAAATCCACGTACGCTGCCATTTTTTACCACAGAACAAACATATTATTAAGTTTGTAATCATTTATTTGTTACCTTTCAGCTCCCATTCTTCTTTTTATGTCAGATTATTTTGTTTCAAAGATATTTTAGAAATCTATAACTTCACTTTCACGGGGAAAGTGCGACAAACGCTAGTTACTGAAAAAGATCGTCAAACTAAACGTTTACGATAGCAAGTTTATAAACTTGGCAAGTTTAACTTGCTATCATCAATTTATGATAAGAATAATCAGAAAAAACAATAGGAAAAAAAAAAGAAAAATAATATTACTGGAAAAGAACAACGACAATAAATTAAATAAGAGAAATATAAAAAGAACAAAAATAAAATAAAATTATTGAAATGCTTGGTTGAAAAAGATGTAAACAATGAAGAGGAATGGTTTTGTCCAGTTTGTCAAGAGAAAAGGTGCAATAATACTTAAATCGACTGGATAACTTGTTGTTTATGTACTGTATGGGTACACGAAGACTATACTTTAAACGATGTTTGCTTTTTAAGTGTAAAGATTTTATTCAAATTTATTGACTAACATGAAACTTTACATATGCATTTTTTTTATTGATATTATTTTTGATTTTTATTTTTTTTATTTTATATTTTTGATTGATATTTTTTCCTATCATGTTTTTTGATTTAAAAGGAAAAATTGCATTTATAATATGATATCTTTGTGCTTTTATTTGCATTCTTATATTTAATCAGATCGAATTTAACAAAGTCTGCTTTAATTTTTATGAAAATTGTATTTTTACCTAGTTTTTTCTTCAAATAAAATCTTTCTCACTTTACCCCAGGTTTTGGGGAAAGGGAGACAGGGTAGTTGTTGCCATTTTGAGTTCAATTATGTACCAATGCAACAACCTATCACCACAAATATTTAAGAGATTGTTAAACACATAATAGGCTAGTAGCCTGCAAAGTTTCTTGTTGTTAAACGTGATACTTCTTAAATTATGAACATTCTCCCTGAAAGTGTCTTGCTTTGCCCCAGGTTACCCTACGTAGAAATTTCAAGAAAACCACGAGGTCTTGTTACCAGACCCAGTGAGCGTGTGTTGTCCGTTAGATGTCTAACGAATGTTTGGACGTCCTTGAGACGTCTAGCAGATGTCCTCCAGACGACACGTGCCCATTGGGGAACCGTGCAGAGGGCAAGTCATCGAGAAAATTGCTCGGGGTTCTATCAGTGATTGATTGCAAATATATGAGCTCCTTCAAATGTTCACTGAAAAGTGAAGTGCATAGATTTTACTGGGGAGCAAATTTAATGTGATATCACGGATTCAACAAAGACTGAATCAAGCGAGGAGACAAATTTTCGGAGAACGTTCTGTGATTAGTGGGCTCACTGCTCGCATTTATTCAAGAATTTTTTGCTAAATTATTTTTTTTGTTGGAATATAAAAAACTTTCTGAAGCAGAGATCAACAGTGCCTGTTCCCAATTTTTGCAAAAATATTCATGTGGCGAGACTAAAAATAAACTGACTTAAGAATTGCTTCACATAAAACAATTTCATACTGTTAACTTTGGAGAGAAAACTATTGTCCCATTCGACTTGCGAAATAAGATTTTTGAAATAAAGCTTTTGGAACTTTTCAGAAATGTATTGATTGCACTGCGTATTTTGCTTCAATTGCGACAACGGCCTCAAGTGAACTTTTATTTAGTAAATTAAATTTGCGCTCAACTATGGGCAAGAACCAGTGATGTTGCTATTTTACGCTTAACTTTGGGACAAGAACCAGCGATGTTGCTATTTTGCGCTTAACTTTGGGACAAGAACCAGCGATGTTGCTATTTTGAGTCTCTATTAGATCAAAATTTTGACTTCCATGAGTTTGCAAAACAAAAGACAAGAAAAATAACATTTTAAGAAACAAAAGCTGGACTACTTAATTATACTTATATACCAGAAATAAATCAAAAAATTTAAACAGACTTTTTTTTTGGTGGTTGGGGGGGGGGGGAGGGCATATTAAAGGATTCTTGGTGCCCCCAAATCCTGTGCACGGCCCTGCTTGTTACCGCTAAAATTAGGGTTATAAGGTAAAAATATATTAAATTTCAGGAAAAAAAATTTATAAGTTTATACCAACTTTGTGTAAAAATTCTAGAGCTCTCGAACGGTTGGAGACTTCATTGGAAGAACATCCTGATTGATCTGATAGATTTCGAGCGAAAAAACAAAAGGTTGTCAATTTTTTTGTACGCAAATGGCGACAGAGACTTGGATATCAAAGTTTTAAAGTAGTTAAAATGCCAAATCGCAACGATAAACAAAGTTCAACCGCAAAGAGTCGAGCTCGAAAGTTGTATGACAACTTGTTAACAAAACATAATGAATGCATTTTGATGGATGACAAAACTTATGTTAAAATGGATTTTAAACAAATTTCTGGGCTGTGCTACTAAAATTTGTGCTAATAAAATTTGTGCTACTAAAATTTGTGCTACTAAAAAATAAAAACTATGCTTCTAAAATAAGAGGAAATGTGAGTGATAAATACAAGTATATAATGAATGATAAATTTTCGAAAAAATTGATGATTTGGCAGGCACTTTGCTCTTGCGGCAAAAAATCGCCAATTCATGTTGGTTTGGGCACAATGAAATCTTTGGAATACGTGAAATGTTGTCTTTCTCGTATAAAACGTATAAAATATCTTTAATTAGTCGTATAAAACGACTAATTAAAGCTCATAGAAGTACTTCAGTATTGTTTTGGCCTGATTTAGCCACAATACATTACTCAAAAGATGCTCAAAAGTTTTACGATGATAATAGAGTGATGTTGGTTCCGAAAAAGATGAATCCTCCAAACTGTCCCGAAATACGTCCTATTAAAAAATATTGGGCCATCATAAAAGAGAAATTGAAATTAAGTGGAAAAACAGTAAAATCAGCTACAGATTTGAAGAAAAAATGGGATTACGGTGCTAAAACTTACAAAAATCACTCTGTCCAGAAACTTATGGGAGACGTAAAAAAAAAGTCAGAATTTTCTGTAAAATTTAATTTTTTTTTTTTTTTTTTCCTTATTAATATGTAATCTTTACAGTTTTAATTTTTCAGAAATATATTGATTTAAATACATTTAAGCTTTCTTACATCCTTTTTTGATCAAAAAAGGTGGGCAGATTTTTCCGATAGCATGCCTTATATTTTTTACGTACATGTGTACACATTGCTTTTTTTTTTCTTTTTTCTTCTTTCTTAATTACGTAATAAGAAGGGAAGAATAAAAAGAATAAAATTTATTCTATATCACTATGTACATCTTAACACAAGCAAGGTCCCTTGACACAAGTTTGGACTATTACTCTACCATGGGCGTCTTCGGGCACTTTTTCGGGGGAAGAAGATTAGTGGTTGGAAATAAAAAGTATATTTGAAAAACATGAAAAACAAAGTTCATTTCCTTAATGTAACCACTGGATATTACAAACACAGTTTTCGTTCTTATTTAATTATGTCGTCGGTTATTTAATTATGTCGTCATGGCAAAAGGGTTAATATTTATTAAATAGTTAACAGAGCATTCATGAAACAAAACATTACTACTAAATTATTCTTTTATAGGCATTTTGTGCATTTCTTTTTTTTTTTTTTTGATTCTAATAGTTACATTCATATTAGTTAAAAATTAAACAGCTGACTTTTCTGCGCTGTAAGATTTTCAATAAAAGCTGCGTACATGTATATACATTGCTGATAATAGTTACGATTATGTTTATGGTGAAACTAGTTAAGACGAGACTCGTTATTATGTTTTTTTGGTATAGATATTCAGTATGTTAACAACTGCATGTGTGAATAAACTTTTCTTTTAATCTCACAATTAATGTTTGTTTAATATATAAGTGTAATTGCTAATTTTATAACAAAATATCGGTAAGTTTTTCATAAAATGTTTATAAAACAAGAAAAGGATAAACATGATCTGTAAAAATTTATAATTAAAAGATGTTTGAATCGACGGCTTACTTCAATAAGTTATTTTTATTAAAAATTAAAAAAAAGAAGAAAAGTTGAACTTTTAAATATATTTGGAGTTTGAAAATTAGAGTTCAAAAAATATAATGAATAAAATTTTAATTTATTATTAATATTGGTTTTCTTTTTTATTTTTTTTATTCTTTTTTTTGTTTAAGCGTTTTTAATAAAATTTAATTACTTTTAATTTTTTAATAAATAACTTTTCGAAGTTAGCCGAAACATGCTTTAATTTTAAATTTTTAAAGATCATGTTTATCCTTTTCTTAAATATATATACCAGTATCTGAAAACAAACAAATAATAAAGAAAATCAGTATCTAAAAACATCAATAACAAAAAACGATTATTAGTATAAAAATATTGTACTTTTAAAAATAAGCCTTTTTTTATGGCCTTCAACAATTAACTCATTATTAAATGCTCTACTGACTCTGGTGTCTATTAATATACTTATTTATAATCAGACGACATTCGACAATTATATTTTATTTATTATTTTAAGCCTTATATGTAATTTATTTATCATCAAATTATTACTCTCATTGGACAATATTTCCCACACTGTCTCGCAAAACATTTAGAAGACAATACTTTTACAAATTATTTCCCGAACAAAATTTTTGTTTAGAATTTGCTAAAGTGTTTCCAGAACTTTCTTCAATTCTTTAAATAAAATTTTTTTTCTAGCTATTTTACATGTGCTTAGCTCAAAATTTGTATTCTGTTTGCTGGGAAAAGATTGAATCCTCCTCTGCCACAGCATGGAAATCGCAGTAATACTTATTGAAACAAAATTTTTTTTTTTGCTAACATTTGTATATTTATCGATCTTCTACTTACATCTTTTTGGATTGTTTTGCAATGCTGACCTCTGATGGAAACTGTAAATCCATTTTGTTACAAAATAATTATTTTCTAAAGTTATCTTTCTACATTTTGCTCACCATTGACTACTGATTCCATTTCCTACCTTTATAAGTCTTATTCACTAATAAATGGAATACTATTATCATATTTGAACTTAGCCTACGTTTTCAATGTATTTTTTAGGAAGCGTTTTATTAGCCTCTAATAAAACGCTTCCTAAAAAATACATTGAAAACGTAGTTGGATCTTACAGTTCTGAGCCATAGATTTATAATACCGCAGTGTTTTGCTTTTTCTTCTCTTGTAGTTAATTTAAAACAATATTAATTTTTATTAGTGTAAAGCTATTAAAACTATAATTTTTTAATTTTTTTAATTTATAAAGCTTTTTACTGTTTTTATTTAAAAGGCATTTGACTTTAAATTTTAGACCTAAAAAAAACATCGTTGTCTATAAAACATTTTTTTCTTTACTTTTGAATTAGCAAACAAATCTCAGCAAGCACACAGACTTTTGTTTGTTTTTAGCTTTTTGCTTTGACTTTAGTTTGCTGGGCTAAATACAAAAAAACAGGTAAAAATAAATTAACATTTTTATTTATGGCTTAACTAAATAGTTAAAACTTAATGTTTTTAATCTCTATATCACCTAATCTCCTAAAGATCGTTGCTTATTGTTTTTGTATGACGTAGTACAAAATTAGAGAAACAAAAAAGGTTTTTAGCAGTAAGCCTTTTACAATTTGCAGCTATGGTTAATGGTTTAATCTCTTTTTTAAAAAAAATTGGCGCACGTTAATGCAAAATAGTTGTAATTAGTTATTTTAATTAATGCAAGTTGTAGAAATTTCAAAACGTTTTTGTACATTTTAAACAGTCGTAACTTTCAAAATGACAATTTACTTTATGCTACTTTCTTGGTTAGTACTTCGGTCTAAAGTTTTAGCTGACACATCATCAAAGGTTTCTATAACAGTAATCAGAGATCCTGAAGCATGTTTGTTTGCACATAACGTCATTAGGAGCAAATGGCATAATACTGCGGTGTTAGTGTGGGATGATGACCTTGCTTACAATGCTGAAAAATGGGCAATACATTTAGCACTAGGAAATATGAAACTTACACATTCCATGCCTCCTGGCTCCATGATTGACGAAAATAATGAACGATATGGAGAAAATCTTTACTTAATGGAAGGAAGCGTGTTACAAAGATGCCGCGATGCTGTGCTTTATTGGTATATGTAAGTAAAACTTTGGTTTTTAATTATAAGTTGCATTTACCATTTAAAAATTAATGTTTTACGTTCAATATTTGTAATTTTTACATCTCTATGGGTTTGTTCTATACCGAATGGTTTTACATTGTATAGTTAATAGAAAAAATGTTTTAATAAGCTTTTTAGATGTCTAAAAAACATATTAAAGCCTATTTAAATGTATTTTAAACGTATTTAAACACGTCTTATGTTTACTGGGGATCTTTAAAGTATAACTACTTTTACAATATAAATAAACAAAAATATACAAAAATAAATGCAATTCTTATTATAATATTTTCAAATACTTTTTTCAGTTAGTATTATACACTAGTTGATACAAGTAAATAAAAACCCTTATACAATATTTATGATTAATAATATTATTTTAAATATATAACTATATAATAATATGGTTTTAAATATATAACTCTTATATAATATTTACTGGTCTATGATCCTCGGTAACTTGTTTTACAGATTAAGATTTTAATTTTGAAAGATTAAAATTTTGTAGTTTTTATAGTAATACTGTAACACTCCAGATTCAAATTTCAAAGACTCTTCAAAGATTCTATGGTTGAGGTTTTAAATATATATATATATATATATATATATATATATATATATATATATATATATATATATATATATATATATATATATATATATATATATATATATATATATATATATATATATATATATATATATATATATATGTATATATATATATACTACGTAATATATATATACTGTACTAATTTTAGTTTTATTGTTTCAGATAACTTTGTTTATTTTACTTAACTTTTTTTCTATCAGATTCGATTGCGATCACCCAGTAGATAAAGAACGTGTTTAAAACTTCTAGAACACGTTCTTTGCGTTTACTTATCTCATTTTAACATATTCATTGTATAGGCTGGTTTGATGCTAAGTCATCCATATAATCCTTATACTTATGGCTCTATAAGTAGTGCAAATATTTGGGGATGTTTGGGAGTGTAGTAAAAAAAAAAGCAAATTAAAACATCTTTACCGGAAACAAAAATAATCTCCTAAAATATTGTAAAGACCGTTTATATAATACATTTGAAGATTTTTTAAATTTTACTCTTAATATTTGTATATTGAGATAAAAAAATGTTGTATATTGAGATAAAAAATTTATATAATATTATTGTATTGAATTTTTTTATTTTATAAATAAAAAAATGCTTATAAAAAAGTTAAATCGGTGAGAAAAATAAATGGAACTTATTCATTATATTCTATACAAGGCACCGTTTTAACCGTAAAAAAAAAATTCTTTTTAAAATGTCTTTTATTAACTTCTTCAAAATATAACTGAGGAGGTTTTTAAAATGGGGGAGATTTTCTTTAAGAAATTTGTCATCTTTCTATTAACAGTTTATCATATTTTTATTTTTTTCTAATTTGTTAATTTTAATTTTGCTTACACTTATTAGTTGTTGTATTCGTGTTATTTCATTGTAAAGATCTTGTTAAAGATGTACTAATATTAAATATTACTTTTATTTAGATGTTTTTTTTTGCCTTTTTTTTCTGACCTTTTGACCTTGTCATCGTAGTGCTCTATAACAAGATCTTCAACAGGTCTTCCTAGAAGATAATCAACAGGTCTTCCCAGAAAGTAATACTTGATATTAATACATCTTTAACAAGATCTTCACAATGAAATGACAATAAATTCACAATACAACAACTAATAAGTCTAAACAAAATTAAAATTAAAAAGTATGATAAACTGTTAATAGAAAGATGACAACTTTCTTAAAGAAAATTTCTTTCATTTCAAAAATCTCCTCAGTTATATTTTGAGCAGAAAAGAGTAGACATTTTAGACAATCTTGACAATGCAGATAAGTTGAGCAAAAAAGACTAAAACTGCCTTAAGATGACATAAAAAAATTATATTATTACCCTGTAAATAAGATTACGTTTACCTTGAAAGTTACCCAGTGGGCACAAGAGGTGCTTTAGACGTCTAAAATACGAGTTAACATGTTTTATCTAACCAAGCACCGTTTAAGCGGCAGAAAATTTTTTTTAAATAAAAGTAATATTTGATATTAGTATATCATTAACAAACTAGCATACTAAGGTATGTACTTACTATTATCGGCGAGAAAACTTCAGTGGAGCTATTTGAAATGATTTAAAAAACTACAATACATTATGAAAGTGATCTAACTCTAATTTCCTTGATGAAGAAATAACTATGTGGCAAAAAATGTGTCTTAGATGTCAACCAGATAATTAACCCTCAAGTGCTGTTAGTGCTCTTAAAGAATGTAAGCTAGATAAGTTTCCAAATGTTTACATTCTTCTTTCCTTTGGATGTGTTCTTCCAGTCACTACCGCAGAATATGAAAGAACTGGAGGTGTAATTCGACACCTTCATTCGAACACAAGAGCAACACAAGAACAGGAACGTCTTTCTGAGTTGGCACATCCACTATGATTATAACTTTGCACATCCACTATGATTATAACTTTGATTTAGATGTAGTCGTTAAAATGTTTGCAAAACAACATCTAAGAAGATTAGAGTTTATCTCCTTTGTTTTAGAAGATTGTTGTAATTGAGTGCATGTTTCTTGTTTACTTATTTTTCATTACTTACATTTTATTAAAAGTTTCAGCAAAATTTGTGTAAAAAAAAAATTGTGTTTAATTATAATATTTAAAAAAATGACCTCTCATTTTTGTTTAAAAACAGTGCTCTGTTTTTACTGTTTTACTGCGGTACTGCAGTAAAAAATTTGTCACCCTTCAAAAAAAAAGTCTGGTTACGGTGTAGCGTTTTTAAATTACTGCGTTAAAATTTTACTGCGCGGAAGTTTTCAACCGTTCAAACTTCATTTGCGGTAAAATAATTATACTGAGGCAGTAATATTTTAACGTTAAAATTTTACTTCACTCGTTATAATTTTACTGGCTTTTTAGTTTACAGTTTATATAGCTTATTTTGTTAAGGTGTACGAAAATATATGACTTTAATGGTGTCAGGAAATATTCGAATCACGATGCTTTTCTTGGAGATGTGAATGAAAGAGGAAAAAAAGCAAATTCTAAACAGCAGTGTAAAAATTTTGTTATTGTTGACAATAAGTTGATGTATTGCAAAAAAGGTATTGGCGAGGTAAGGAAAACTTGTTTTTATGAAAGAAGTTTTTATTTAATTTAAAAGGTTTTACTTAAATAAAATAAAGTAATTAAACAATATTCTTTATTGTGCATTAATTTGAATTAACACAACATTTTTCAAAAATTCGAAAATTTATTGCTTTAAAACAACTCAAAATAATGTAAAAATTTCATACAAATAATTTTTTTTATTGTAGGTGATTGTGGTAATAGATCGGGAAGAACAATTAAACATTGTTAAAGAAGTCCATGAGGGTCTCGGTACTTCTGAGAAAGCTGTTGCATTAGATAGCCACTTAGGAATTAATGCTGTGAGAAAGCAAATTTCTTCAAGATTTTTTCTGGCATTCAATTGTGGAGGATATCACCAAACATGTAGCTAAATGTGAACGATGCCAAAAAACCTCTTACAGAAACCTAAAAGTGTCTCCTGCTTTAAAACATGTTAAAGTAGAACAACAAGTTATGAAACAAGTTGGTGTAGATTTAAATAAATTACCTGAATCAAATGGATTCAATTATGTAATTGTCCTTATAGATTATTTTTCAAAGTGGACTGAAGTAGAACCTCTTATTGTTAAAACAGCAATATCAGTAGCAGCCTTTCTTTATAGAGTTATTTTCAGGCATGGTTGTTTTCAAATACAAATTAATGACCAAGGTCGTGAATTTGTAAATTCAGTATCCATTGCACTTCATGATATGATAGGCGTTCAGCAACGTGTAACCTCTGCTTACCATCCACAAGCTAATGGCCTTGTGGAGAGACAGAACCAGACAATTAAGAAAGCAATTGTTAAGGTCTTAAATGAAAATCTTAAAAGTTGGGCCTCAGTTTTTAGATGGAGTCCTATTTGCTTTACGTGTTAAAGTGCACGATTCAATGGGGTATTCACCATTTTACCTTATGTATAACCGACAACCCTATCTTCCAATTGATGTAAAGTACACAAATGTACTCAATGGGGATAACTACAATCCTGTATATGATAAAGAAGTTATTATAGTTAAATATTACAAAAAGCTTTTCAAATGAAAAGAGGACTTGAAGAAAAAGCCATGACCAATATTGTTTGTGCACAAAAGAAACAAAAAATTGACTATGATAGAAAGCATACAACACCATCAAAATTTTTTGTGGGTCAAAAAGTACTATTGAGAAATTTAAAAAAAGAAAATAGAAAAGGTGGAAAAATGACTTTCTCGTGGCTTGGTCCATATGAGATACTTGATATTTTGTCAAACTCAACATGTTTATTAAGAAACATTAAAGGGAACAACAGAATAAAGAAGAAGTACTCTCTACATCATGTTAAACCATTTGTTGAAGAGAAAAGTAATTCAAAATTGCATAGTTTAACTTCTGAGTGCAACAATCAGGATAAAAGTCAACGTAATTCCAAATTAATGAAACATCCTACCAAAGAAGTTCTCCAAAAAATAGCTGAAGAACAAGGACTTAAAATATTTATAATGCCAGATCTTTTTGGTGGAGAAGAAAATGATGTACCTTCAAAAATACATGTTTGCAAAGGTGATGGCAATTGTTTTTTTCGAGCAATTTCGTTTTTGCTGACAGGTTCTGTGTGTCAACATACACATGTTCGCGATGTTGTTGTTAAGCATATGGTATCAAAGCCTTGTTCGAATCTTTTGTCCGGATATTTAGGCAATGATGTGGAAAACTACATTACCAAAAGTGGTATGGCCACAGATAGTGTATGGACTACAGATGTTGAGATCCTTGGTACTGCAAATCTTATTTGAATTGACATTGCTGTATGGTCCTTCACTGGACAAAAACTAGCATGGCTCAAATATCCAGCATCCATGAAACTCGACCAACTAACAGCTCATAGTATTCTTTTAGAAAATAAAAAACAATCATTATAACGTTGTTTTGTCATTAAAAGCTTTGTAAATGAAATGATGTTTAAACTGAACTAAAATGATGTTTGTATATCAGTTGTTTTACTAAGTTGTTAGTTATAAAAAAATAAATAATTTGCTCAAGGTTGCATATTCTTTTCAACTTAAAAAAACGTAAATAAATTGTTTGTAATAAAACTCTACAGAAGTGATTTTATGGATCGCTAGGCTATTTAATTTATTCTATCATTAGATTTTGTCGCACAATAAAGGAAAATCGCTTTACTTGATGACAGTAAAATTTTAACGTGCGCAGTAAAATTATAACGTTAAAATATTACTGTCTCAGTAATATTTTAACGTTATTATTTTACTGCAAAGGAAGTTTGAGTGGTTGAAGACTTCCGCGCAGTAAAATTTTAACGCAGTAATTTAAAAACGCTACAACGGGCCTACCATGGACGGAAAATTCTTACCAGAAAATATTCTCCCTAAGAAGCCAAGAGTTAATTCATCTTTGTACTCAAATTATTGTAAACTATTGTAGAACTATACCAGTCAGTCAGACTGGAACTGCATCACAACCACCTGCATCACTTGTTAAATATTTTAATACTCAGTTTTATTTTCATGGGAAACTGATTAATAAAGTGTTAGCATCTAATTCCGACACCCTAAACATAGATTGTCTCCAACTTTGGAAAATGCATGAGCAAAAATTCTCAATTTTCAAAAGTGCAGTGAACCTGTTAAAAGGGTACTCAGCCAGGGTGGCCTGACTATGACATCCATATACGCACTGAAATCGTAATATGACTTGACTTGAAGCTTTTTCAAAAGTGACTTGAAAACAGCTCTGAAAGACTACTAAACTAAAAAAAAAATAATAATTGCAATTCAATACGCTTAAAAATTTTAAGTTTAGTATTTTGGTGTTTGCAAAGAAACCTTTTTTACTACCCCTAATAGTGAATCAAAAATAAAAAATTTTGGAGATGGCTTTCGCTCATTGGCCCGAACATGAATTTACCATAGATCCTAGTTCTAATCGGTTTTGACCGATATTAACTATATATAGTTGATTTTTTTTTTTTAAAAAAAGAATCTTCGGCTGGTTTTTTTTGTTGCTATAAACATTTACATTTTATGGCAAAATTTATCTTTTTAATTCTTTTCATCTTTACATAATTCCCAGACCTGATCATTTAACAGAAATATGTCGTAATCAACAAAACATCCTACAGACGCTATAATATTTTAAAATTCCCTTAACCAATGCCGACACCAAGGGGGTGTGCAGGGGGCACGTGCCCCTACTTTTTTTCTAAAAGACCTTTTTTTTTCAGAAAATTCTAGATATAGAGAACTTTTTTAGAAATTGACCATTATGTCTCCCTCCCTCCCCTCCCCCCCCCCCCCCACTTCGAAACCCGTGTCGTCGGCCCTGTTAACTGCGATCACAAATCGTGCTTATTTCGCCTCATTCTCGTTGCGCTTTTTAGCTAAGCATAATATTATTTTAAAAAATGAATTCAATTTTTACAAAGAGCAGGCCCGGTTTTAACAGTTTTCTATGTGTAGGCGAGATGCAAATTTGCCGCCGCAAAAATTAAAAATGCAATAATTTCCAATTTGAAGGAAAATAGAAAAACAGTGAAAATCAAACTTTAATATAGAAAATAAAAAAACTCAATTTATACAAAAATAAAAAACAAAACAAATTCCATTCATGAAAAAATAAAAAACAAATCGTAATTAAAAGTGAATTTTCCTAGCTTTTAACTCTGCGAAATCTTTAACCAAATCTTCTATGTCCAAATGATCAGCAATTTCTTTCTCGATGGAAATCGTAGCTAGACCAACTAAACGATCTTGACACATTTGTGATCTCAAATAGGATTTTATTATTTTCATCTTTGAAAAGCTTCTTTCAGCACTAGCAACTGTGACTGGTAACGTTAGTAGTATGCGAAGAGCTATCGAAAGGTTTGGGAATACTTCGACAACATTAGATGTGTAAATACATTTTAATACACTTTTTGGATCGCTATTGGAAGTATCAAGTCGTCTCCCAATAGCTTTAATTTCATACCAAAGTTCGACCCCGTTGATATCCAACGAAACTTAGAAGATCGATCGCGCCGAAACAATCTTAGGACTGAAGGAATTTACGAGAATGATAAAGAATCATGGGGGGATACAGAAAAAAAAGTCCAAACATTCTTCACCGAAAAACTTGGACTAAAAGATGTTGAAATTGAAAGAGCTCACCGCACTGGACGAAAAAACGATGGACGACCAAGGACTATAATATTAAATCTTCAGAAATATAAAGACAAAATAAGAATATTGAAGGAATTGTATCGACTCAAAGGCACAAATACGTTCGTGAACGAAGATTTTTCTCGAGAAACCGTCGCTATTCGAAAAAAATTGTTCGCTGAAGTGAAAGAAAGGCGATTGAATGGTGAAAGTGTTACGGTAAGGTATGACAAAATTGTTTATATTAAAACTTCTTTTAAAAACAATTTTAACGAATAATTTTATGGGCATTCCTAAAAAGAAATCTTACATAAAATATATTAATCATGGCTACAAATGAAAACTTTGAATCTCGTGTTTTTAAAATTCAAAAAACAAATTGCTCTACGTTAAATGAAAATTTAGACTCTGATTACAATATTTATCACAATAAATTTTCAGATTGTTCATATTACTTTCCTAGCCAACTAGAAGGGTTTCTTTTTAAGAATGAGAATGAAAGAAATAATAATCAAATGTTAATTCTCCACCTCAATATAAGAAGCTTAAATAGCAATTTTGAAAAACTTTTAGACTTATTAAAAGAAACTAAACATGTTTTTAATATAATTTGTTTAACAGAAACTTGGATTTCTTTAGAAGACCTAAATAATTTTCATCTACCTCATTTTAATACATTTTTAATGGAAAGGAAAACAAATAAGCGCGTTGGTGGAGTTTTAATTTATGTTCACGAAAATTTTGAGCATTGTTTTAGGCATGATTTAAGCGTTTCTGACTGCGATAAAGAAATTGCAACTATAGAAATTACTAACTGCAACAACAAAAAAATTTTTCTAAGCTGTTGTTATCGGCCACCTGATGGCGTAAGCGAAAACTTTAGCATGTTTTTACAACAAATTATTAAAAAAGGTACCGTTGAAAAAAAACAAAATTTTATAATTGGAGATTTAAACATGAATTGTTTTCTTTATAATGATAACCTTAAAGTTAAAAATTTTTATGATGAAATTTTTGAAACGGGTTCAGTATCTTTAATAAACAAACCTACAAGAGTAACGACAAATTCAGCAACTCTAATAGATAATATAATAACTTCAGATATTTTCAACAATGATTTAAAAGTAGGTATTTTGCGAACCGATATATCAGATCATTTCCCTATATTCCTAAAATTAGATAATACAAACTCTGAAAAAACTTTAACCGCACAAAGAGTAATTAGAAAACGCATTTATAATGAGGCTAACCTTAATTTATTCAAAAATCAACTTTCATTACTACACTGGAATAACATAAATTTTAATGATAATGCTAACAATATCTATGAGTCTTTTTTCAAATCATTTTTTTCTGTATACGATGCTACCTTCCCAATCATTGAAAATAAAATAACTACTAAGAGCTTAAATACACCCTGGATCACTAAGGGCTTTAAAAAATCGTCCAAAATTAAGCAAAAACTATATATAAATTTTTTGAAAACAAAAACACCTAAAAACGAAAAAATTTACAAGGACTACAAAAACCTATTTGAAAAAATTCGCAAAAATCTAAAAAAAAATTATTAGTCCCAATTACTCAATACATTTAAAAATGACACAAAACGCACATGGCAAATAATGAATGAAATTATTGGAAAACAAAAATCATGCTCAGGTTTTCTGCCACAAATGGTTAGAGTCGATAACAAAAGTTTATACGAACCAAGAACTATAGCTCAAGAATTTAACAAATTTTTTATCGATATAGGTCCAACACTTTCTAAAAAAATCCCAAACACCAAATCTTTATTTACTGATTTTCTAGTACCCATTGATAATTGCATTGGTTCAGTTGAGTTGTCTTCTGAATTGTTGTTTGAAGAGTTTGAAAGAGCCTTCAAATCTTTAAAAAAAAATAAAGCAATTGGAGCAGATCAAATAAATGGAAACGTTATTATAGATTGTTTTGAACAGCTAAAAGTTGTTCTTTTTAAAGTTTTTAAAGCTTCTATCCATCAAGGTGTTTTCCCCGAACTGTTAAAAATTGCCAAAATTATTCCTATTTTTAAAGAAGGGGACAAATCAATTATAAGTAATTATCGCCCTATTTCTGTTCTTTCCACCTTTTCAAAAATTTTAGAAAGAATTATATATAACAGAGTATACAAATATTTTCATGTTAATAAATTACTTAACATTAATCAATTCGGTTTTAAAAAGGATAGCTCAACTGAACATGCAATTATCCAATTTGTACGGGAAATCTCAAAATCATTTGAAAAATCACAATATACTCTAGGACTTTTTATTGATCTATCAAAAGCTTTTGATACGGTTGACCACCAAATTCTAATCCATAAACTTAAACACTATGGAATAAAAAATAAAGTTTTAAAATGGTTTGAAAGCTATTTGTCAAATCGTAAACAATTTGTTCCGAGTAATGACGGTTATCACACCAATTGTCTTTCTATAACATGTGGAGTCCCACAAGGCTCAATTCTTGGTCCACTCCTTTTCCTAATTTATATTATTGATTTAAATAAAGCCTCTAAACTAACAAGTATTATGTTTGCAGATGATACTAACTTATTTCTTTCTAACAGTGATATCTTTGAACTTTTTAAAACAATGAACAAAGAGCTTATACATGTATCGAGTTGGTTTAAATGTAATAAGTTAACTCTAAATTCTAATAAAACAAAGTCGACCTTATTCCATTCGCTTTCCAAAAAACGATATTTGCCATTAAACTTACCTAAAATTTTTATTGATCAAAATGAAATAAAAAGGGATTCCGTAACAAAATTTTTAGGTGTTTACCTTGATGAAAACATCACTTGGAATCATCATATCGACTACATAAGCACTAAAATTTCAAAAAACATAGGAGTTTTATATAAAGCACGAATCTACCTCAATAAGAAAATTTTAATCAAACTTTATTATTCATTTATAGAAAAAAGTAAGTTGCAACGTCTTTATCGCCGTCAGAAACATGCTATCCGTTTAATCTCCTTTGCAAATCGCTTTTCTCACGCAAAACATTATTTTATTGAAATGAGAATTTTAAATATATACGAGCTAAATATATATAATGTTTTATGCTTTATATACATGTGGAAAAATGATTTGTCTCAATCTGTTTTCAACGATATTTTTAATCCGAAACCCATCAACAAATACAATTTGAGAAATACTGATTTTTTAAATGAACCTTTCTGTCAAACGAACTTTAATCAATTTTGTATTGTCTATCGGGCACCACACCTTTGGAATAAAATTGTTTTGCCCAATTTTGATTTCGAACTACCCATTACTTTTCGTTTTTTTAAAAGTAAATAAAAAACCCTAATTTTTTCATTAGAAGACGTATTATGTTATTATTAATAATATGAATTAATAACTTTGCCTTTTCTTATTTATATTTGTAAAAAGTTTATTCTTACTTATTTTGCTGATTTTATATTCTTTACTTCACGTATACGTTTATATAAAATATTAGTGAGTAGATCCGCGTGATCTCTCTTTGGATTATAAAATATATATTTGGATTATATATATATGAAATTTGTAAAAATTTGATACTGTTAATGCTTGTTTGAACTTATTTAAGGTTCTGACGACAAGATCCTTTGATCTTCTTTCAGATACCTTATTTTATATTTGTGAAAGTTTATTATTATCATCATTATTTTCTATTTTATTTTTTTTGGCAATATATAGTTGTAATACGACCAACAAATGTAAAATTTAAAAAAAAAAAAAAAAATCAGATTGGCCTTCAGTCATAAGCGCTAAATGCAAGTCCTTACAGTGTTTCAATAACTCATCATCCATCATCATCACAGCGATAATTGCATAGGAAAGATTTGGTAGCGTTTAAATGCTCTAGAGCAAGCGACAAGTCTAAAGCCTGTGATTGGAGCATTTTGCTGACAATATTAATTTGGAATAAAATGTCATACCACAATACCAAGGAGCAAACAAATTTGAAATTTGAAATATTTCTGGCTATTCCCTTAGCCTCTGCGCGACTCTTGACTTGTGGTGCAGTAGTTAATGTATTGTCTTCTGCGATTTCAATTAGTGCATCGTAAACTCCACTAATCTGAAATCGAAGTGCCCGTACGGCACCGACCCTGCTTTCCCAACGAGTGGCACTTAACGGTTTTATAGTCAGATCGCTTAGGTGGTTTAATAATATACTCCAACGGTGAGTTGATGCTGAGAAAAAGTTATAAATGCCTTGAATTAAATCAAAGAATGCGACAGCCTCTATACAACAATTAGCTGCATCGTTCAATACCAAGTTGAACGAGTGGGCACTACAAGGAACGAAAAAAGCTCGAGGATTTAGTTGACGAATTCTGGCTTGCACACCATTATATTTTCCGCGCATGTTGGCTCCATTATCGTACCCTTGTCCCCTCATGTCATCAAGATTTACGCCTAATTCCTGCAACTTATCGATAACAACTTTTGTCATATTTGCTCCCGTTGTGTCTTGTAATTCAAGAAAAGTTACGAAGTGTTCAGAAACTACGACTTCAGCTGGTTTTTCCGAAGATGATTCAGTTGCACTGACAAACCTAAAAACAACTGTCATCTGCTCCATGTGGCTTATATCTGGGGTACAGTCTAAAATAAGTGAGTAGTACTTTGCTCGCTCTAGTTTTGCTAAGATGTCATTTTTGATTTTATTAGCAAGCAATTCAACGATTTCATTTTGAATAGTTATTCCGAGATAGGTGGTGTGAATTTCACTTGTTGTTATTCGTTGAATATGTTTACTCATAATAGGATCATAATTTCCTAAGAATTCAATAAATTTAAGAAAATTTCCGTTATTCGGTTCGAAAAGCTTTTCACGTGTTCCTCTTAATGCTAGATTTTGTCCAGCAAGAGTTCTAATTAACGTTATTATTCTTGCAAGAACTTGTCGCCAATGTTGAGTTTCAGATTGAATTATTTTCTGATTAATGTGATCAATCGTAGCCCCTGATTTAAGTCTCACCTCCAGATCTCTCCAATTTAGATATGCAGTAGTGTGGCCACTTGATGTTTCATGTCGTTTAATAATAACAGAAATATTTTTCCAATCTCGGCAGCCGTCATGCGATGACAGGGAGAATTTATTCGGACTAAATATCTTACAGCAAAAGCAAAATACAGTGTCTTTCGTAATGGAGTACACCAACCAAGTGCGTTTAATTTTATCGCCATTAGACATTCCGCGATAAAAATGAAAGCTTGAAAATTTTCTACCTTGTTCATCTTCGGGAAATAAAGACGGCAATTTTTGAATTGGACCATACTTCATCAGCAATGCTTTAAATTTACCATCTATTATAGTCCATTTTGCCGGATCATTAAAATTAAGAGGCAAATCTTATTTGGTTTTGGGGTCTTCACCACTTTGATCTTCATTGTTTTCATTTTGTCCTATATCATCGACGTTCTGTACAACAACTTCACTTAAATTGGAGATAAATTCCACTTCATCGACATTTTCTGGTTCTTTAGCAGTATCATCATTTCCAGAATTTCTATATTCATTAACACTAACACTATCCGCATATTCTATTTCTCCACAGCTTTCGATTTCAATTTCAACTTCATTTTGGTTTGAAGTTGAAGCTACTATAGGTGCCAGTGCTTTTTCGCTTGATGACCTGCTCAAAAAGTGCAACAAAGCATTCTTCTGCTTGGCAGAATTTGCTTCACGTTGAAGCCTAATTTTCTTGTATTGTGACCCAGACAAGCGCTGTCTCTTACCACGGTCCATTATATTTTATCGTTTAAAGAATTTAAACTTAAAAAAATATAGCATTGATACATATACCTAAATTTTTATATTTAATGATAATAATAATAATAATAATAATAATAATAATAATAATAATAATAATAATAATAATAATAATAATAAGTTTATTCAAATACATGAAAAAGAAAAAACTAACTTTAACTACTTACTTATAAAAATTATTGTTAGACAAATATTAATCAATTTATAAAAGGGTATAATAATTTTTTTTTTTTTTTCAAAGTTAAAGTTCGTTTAATAATACACTTTTATAACAATTTACAATAGATATCTCAAAGATAACTTCAATAAAATTTTTAAGAAAGTTTCTTAGAAATATTCTGGAACTTTAATTTGCTTAGTCAGCGTATTTTATGAACCAATAGAATTCGTTTGTTTGTATATTTGGCGGTTTGCTAACATCCATCCCTGAAAAAGAAAAAAGAAACTTTTTTTTACTGTTTCTTCTTCGCCAAATCCCAAATGTAAAACATGTATACAAACAAACACTTTTATTACTATATTATTTATTTGAAAAAATTAGTATGTATTAAAGTTCCCGTAAAAAAAAAAAAAATAATTTCTTGTTACAAAAAAAAAATTAAAATTTTTTTTTTTTTTTGGGAAAACACAAAATAAATTAAGAAAAGTGCCGTTCTAGAAACGTGCCGCCGTCGGCTGTCGCCGACGTCGCCTACGCTTAAAACCGGGCCCGACAAAGAGAAAATGCAAATTCTCAAGTACTATGAAATATTGGTATTTAATAAATACCAATATTTTATAGTACTTGAGAATTTGCATTTTTTCTTTGTAGAAATGCATTTTTTCTTTGTAGAAACATTTTTTGTAAAAAAAAAGCCTAAATTCAATTTAAGTATGAGAGTGTAAGCTCTCATATAATATCACATAAATTGGACAGAGAGGACAAAAGCCATAAAGTCGGGGAACCCTATATAGGCTTTTTGGCGCTTCACCATCCATATATATTAAGTTTAATTATTCCTAAAAAAACTAAGCATTATTTTACTAATATAATATAATATTCACAGGGCCGTCCTGAAGAGATTTTAACGGAAGAAGGGGGGGTGTTGTGTCTGTTTTTTTTTCAGCGCCATCCCCCCCCTGTCGGGACGGCGCTGAATATTCAATACAATAAAATGATACAAATTAAACATTTTTATCTCAATAAACAAAAATTATTAGTGTCATAAATATAATATAAAAAATCTCCAAATATATTATAAAGACGGTGTTACCGTCTTTAGAATATATGTGGAGATATAATATATTGGAGTTTTTGTTACCGGTAATTTGCTTTTTTTTCTGTACACTCCTAAACATCCCCTAAATATTTACATTACTTATAGAGCCATGAATAAAAGGATATTCATGTATATATTCATTCTGATATATTCATGTTTAATAGTTTAATTATTCCTGAAAAACTAATTATTTTCTACTTTCAAATAAATCAGGGAGAGAAAAACTACAAACTATGACTTTAACAATATTGTTTACAACAATAATGCTGGTCATATGCAACAACTGTTATGGATTCCTACAAGTAAATTTGGAGTTGGAATCACAACAGCGTTTGGAAAAACTTGGATAGTAGCTCAGTATAAACCTCCAGGGAACTCTCAAACAGATAACTTAAACAAATTTATTAACAAACCAGTCAAAGGTATGCAATATTTTTATGTATTAAAGAAATCTATTGTAACAATAAACGTTAATAAACTGTTAGCTGGTTTACGTTAAAGAAGGGGGCTCGCTTACTCTCATTTACTACAAACTCTCTCACTGGTAAAACTTAAATAGTTTTACAAGTGAGAGAGTTAAAATCTGTTAGTACTAACAATCTGTTAATACTAACAAATTGTGTAAAAGTTTCCCCAATTTGTATAAACAACTCTTATATCATTTGTTAGTTTTAAAGTTCTATAGTATCTCAAGCACATAGCAATGGAATATAAAAAAAAGTAATAATTTTTTCTTAATTTATTACTTTTAAAGTTTTAGGCTTAGGATGGAAACAATTTTTTTCTCAAAGTTTTTAAGCTTTTAGCGACTTCTGAGAATACTTTTGCTGTTTTAGTGTTTTCAATATTAAAATAATGTTTAGCTACTTTACTTTATAAAGGTTTTTTGAAAAAATTTTAAATAATCTTAATAAGTAATGATATTAAATCAAATTAATATCCTACATTAATTTATATTAGTTTATATTTAATTGTTATATTATTTATATTTATATTAATTTAATATATTGTAATATTGTAATACCTTAATTTGTAATTTTTGAGACTAAACTTATTAGATTAGATTTTTGAGATTAAACAAATTTCATATTTATTTACTCTTTTTTTCTTATTTTGCCTTTTTAAGAAGAATTGTAAATATATTTAGTGCAGAAAAAAGTATTTATTATTAGGAACATAGTTTTCGGTGAAGCATTTTCAAGTTTATTTATGTATTGAGTCTCTTCTAGCTTGTATGATGTCTGAACCTTTTTGAAATGAGATATGGTATTTATTTACTACCCAAATTCAATTTAAAAAAAAATTGAACTTGAGTAGCAATTGGGTAAAAAAGTTAATTTTATATTTACATATCTTTAGTTATTAAGAATTGAGGAAACTGGGAGTTGCAATGATTCTTATGCAAACAATTCCCTCTGGACAATAATTTCTAACAATTGTTCCAAATAGTGATTAGCGATTACAGAATAAGTAATTCCCTTTGACGAATTACACAGAAAATGATTGCTCAAGCATTCCCTAAGAGACTAATTCTACACAAAGAATTCTCACAAACCATAGCGCTAAACTCACTAGAGGTTGAAATAACAATATGAGTGGTTAAAAACATCTTTTTCATAAATAATTGAAGTCCATATTTTATTATTGTTTTAATGAAAATATTATATTATTTTTGTAATAATATAAAAATATATAATAATTGCTGTATTTAACTTGGAACATTTTTGCTTTTAAATGTCACAATTCTTTTTTTTTTAATCTTTTTATTTATTTTCTTGTAAGTTTTTGTTGCAAATGTTATGAATGAATGGTTTATAGATAATTTTTGTAGAAATAACAATTGTCTTCTTATTATTAAGTATCAATTTAAGTAGTAAAAAATTTGTGCACGAGTGTTAATAAAGTTTTAAATATCTAGTTTTTACAGTTTTTCAAATGAGCAGAGATAAAAAAATATTTTATATCTCTGCTCATTAAAATCAGAGATAAAATTATTATTTAAAATTTAATAATAGTTTAATTTAATAATAATTTAGTAGAAAAGATAAAAATTTTGTTAAAATTTTTGTATGTAATGTTTGAGCATTAAAACAAACATTTTTTTCCACTAACTGTACTTTTTTTTTTTTTCAGTTTCTTTTCATTTTTTTTTTTTTTTTTTTATAGCTTATTCCGCCGAAGTGAAGCTGTTGCAATCAATGAATTATTTTTAAATAATTTTAAATTATCAATTGCGCTTTTACTTTACTAACTTTTTTTTAATATTACTTTATTTCAGACCCAACATGACTTTTGAAATACTATTTTTTTTGATAATATCAAGAACTTGTTCGATGTTTAAGGATCTTGTTATAATATATAATATTATAATATATATTTTGCCATAAAGAAAATATTTACAAAATTAGACTTTAAAAACTGTATATACACGGCTGGGGCAAGAAGAAGACAAATTCAGTCTTATCACCAAGCCCCTTCGAACAAGAATATAAGTAACAAACAAAACAAAAAACCAAAAAACCAAAAAAATCTGTTATCACAATATAATATATGCGTAAGGTACATATATAAATACAAATATCTAAATATTTTTCATTAAAATTTAATATTTTTTTTTAGTTTTTTTTTTTTTTATTAGGATTTCAAATTTTAATAGTAAATAAAAATGAGATAAAACATGATAATTTAAGAAGGTAAAGATTCAGATTAAAATCAAAAATTAATATGTTAAAAAAAATTAAATATCAAGTAAAAAACAAGTGATTACTCCTATTTAAAAGTTTCAGAAGAAGTCAAGTTCATTGTCAATTATCAAAAGTTTACTTTTTTTTTTTTTTTTAATTGATCAAGGGAAGAAATTTTTTTAAACTCATTATCCAATAGGGTGTTATAATTAGGTCCATAATTTAGGTCCTCTGATTGCTATCGAGAACCTAGTCGCAGAATAATATTTTTTTGATTGAATATAATTGTTGTTTGAAAATCTTGTTGGGTATAAATGATTTATTTTTTCGAAAAATGAATTAAATAAAATGGTTGCCATTTTATTATCTACTTTGAACATAAATATAAAAATTTGATATAGGTTAAGTTGAAATACGTTAAGTATTTTGAATTTATTAAAAAGTAATTTAATGTGCGAAAAGCGATTCACATTCCCAATAATTCTTAGAGCGTGTTTTTGTTTAATTAGAAGTCCTTTATTTTTAGATACATTAGTGCTGCACCAAGCAACATTAGCGTAATTTAGATAGCAATGAATAAAAGAAAAGTAAATAAGTTTCAAACAAGTTTGGTTCAACAACTGTTTTGCTTTGTATAAAAGGCCTATATTTTTCGAGATTTTATTTTGGATTATTCGTATGTGCTCCTTCCATGTTACGTTTTCATCTAAAACAACGCCTAGAAACAACAAAGAACTCTCTCTTTTGACATAAGAGTTATTAATAATAAAGGATAAATACCCGGATTCGATACCCGGTTTAAGACTCAGCGAGTCTCATGATTTGACTCTTTGGTTTTGGATGTACACATCGGAACGCGTCACACTGTATCCCCATCTTTTTTTTAACTTGAAATTTAGACCACGGCTTTTTTGATGTTTTGAGAACATTCAAGTTTATATATGTTTCCATGTATGTCCGAATAGACACTAACCTCATAAATTTCTAATCAAATCTGTTTATTGTATATGCGATTGTTTTAAAAGCATTCGCTAATATAAAAACTTTTGGTAAGAAAGGTTGAAGTTAATAAGTTAATTCATTTAGCGCGTGTTTAAAAAAAAAACACATTTCATTTGTTAATTAAATAGTTGATTAATATCTCCATTTTAGGAAAAAAGTAAAACATCATACGTTTAATGTGACATTTTATACAGCGCTATTATGCCGAAGAATTCAAAAGTGTGGGACTATTTCACCCAATGTACTGATTTGAAAAGTGGTAAATGCAGTAGGTGTTCAACGATAATGTCAAACAAAGATGGAAATACTTCATCAATGATTAAACATTTAAAAGTTAAACATGGAATTTCTTTACCAACATGAGAAGAAATAGGAGAAAATTCCACCAACAAACAATTTAAAACTATGGACACTATCGTTTCTGTTGCAAGAAAGCCTTTAGAAGAAATTGTTGCTAAATTAGCCGCTCTTGATGGTATATCAGCCGAAAGAGATGTTATGAATTTAATTCATCAATTTTATGAAAAAAAGAAGTTGTAAATATTAGAATTGTTACAAGAAAAAGTTAAAGAAGGCTGACAATTTAGCATTACACTTGATGAATGGACGAGTATGAAAGTTCAGAAATATCTAAATATCAATTTGCATGGAATTGACTCTGAAGTGTATAATCTGGGTTTAGTGAGAATTTCTAACTCGTGTACAGCTGTACAGTTAGTTGAAAAAGTAGAACAACATTTAAACACATATAATATTAATTTTAAAAAACATATAGTTGGTTCAACCGGCGACGGTGCAAGTGTAATGATAAAATTTGGACAAGAATCTCCTAGTCTCTATAATTTGTGTTTGAATCACACTATACACTTAGCTGTTTGTGATATACTATATAAAAAGAAAATATTGCCGTCTTGCAAAATGAAGATAGTATTGATGGTGATGGTGATGACCATGGTCAAGATGGTATTGATGATAATCAAGATGAAAATTATTATTCTGACGAGAGCGGTGATGACGTTGAAGAGTACGAACATGTTGAATTAACAAATTTAGGAAATATAGTAGAAAATATAAAAAGTGTTCGTATAATTGTAAAATTTTTTAAAAATTCTTCTGTGCAAAATAATATTTTGCAAGAAAAGGTCAAAATAGTTTTAGGTAATGAACTTCAGCTAGTGTTAGACGTAAGTACTCGTTGGAGCTCATTGCTCGAAATGGTATCTAGATTTTTAAAATTATTTTATATCGTTAAAGAAGCTCTTCAAGATATTGGAAGTGTACATTTAATAGAAAATATTAATATTGAATTATTACTTGAACTGGAAAATACTCTAAAGCCTATTAAATTAACTGTTGAAGTTCTTAGCAAAGACGATGCTAATATTGCCACAGCCCGATTAGCAATTGATTTTATGTTAAGAAAAGGAAAAGAATCCAATGGTAACATAAGTAGAGAACTATTAATGACGATGAAAACTTGAATAAACAGTCGTAAAAACCAAGAATTAGAAGAGCTATTAAATTCTCTTGTAAATGGTACTATGCCTTCAAAGAAAATACAAACATTTACTATAGGTTTAATGAAAAGATTATTTGATGGGGATGAAGAACAGCAAAACACACATGAACAGGAACATTCAACTGAAAATAACGAAAATACTACAGGAAACGCAGAAGATTTAACATTGGAAAAAGAACTACATAAAATATTAGAATGTGCGAAATGTCCAAATTTGCCTAGTTGCAGAGATGAATTTGCTGGTATTAAAAAAGAATTTTTATTGTTTTCAAAAACTAAAAAAAGAACTGCATATTTAGAAAAACTGTATCAAGTGTTAATGACGATAAAACCAACGTCAACAAATTCCGAACGAGCATTTTCTGTAGCATCTAACTTCTGTACAAGAATTCGTTCTAGATTATCAGACAACTCATTGAGTGCATTAGTTTTTTTAAAGTTTTATTTTTTAAGTAAAAAATAATTGCTCTGTATGTATTAAACACTTATACATATTTTAATTTAGTTGAGTTTATTATTGCTAGTACATTTACACTCATTTTATTATAAATTATGTTTGTAAATACTAAAGCAATATTTTTTTTAAAGTAATGTCAAGTTTATTTGGTAGTTTAAGATAATAATAAAGGTTAAAGCCGGATAATAGTCATTTTATTTACCATAACAAACACCAAATCCATTTTTTAAAATGGGCGTGAGAACAAAAAATCATTTTTTTTTAATTATTCATAATTATTTATTTATATAAAATTTAATTATTCATAATTATTTATTTATATAAAATTTAATTATTCATAATTACTTATTTATATAAAATTTAATTATTCATAATTATTTATTTATATAAAAAATCATTTTTTATTTATTTTTTTAATTATTCATAATTATTTCATGCTATTGTTAAAAGTGCGAGTTAAAAAAACGTATTAGAGCCGGACTCAAACCCGGACCCGATAAATATTCGTAGGCAAGGCTCGGACTCGTCAGGTCTAAAAAAGCCGGGTTTTTCCAAACCCTATCAGAAACAGATTAAATTCCTAAAAAAATTGATAAGAAGGACGGTGTTTCACAGTATAACTTAGCCAAAAGATTCAATGTTTCCCAGTAATATATATCCAAAATTGTCAAAAATTGTCAGATTAGTCAAAAACTGGGATAGGGATTGGGTTTTTTGGCTTTTGTAGTGTAGTCCTATTATATTGCAATATTGACTAGGATGATGTAGAGTGCAGGCGGTGATATCTGTTGCAAGGACACACCCCTGACGAGTGGCGTTAGTGCAGGTCTCGGGCTCTCCGAAACGTCATTGGTGATCGCAGTGCATTCCTGAGGAGGGGGATCACCATTTATCCACTACTTAATTCTAATTGGTTATTATGGCACCAACATTTTTTTACCTCTTAAACCCATGTATTTTTGCACTTTGTGAGCTTTTTATTATGAATTTGTTACATTAACGATATTTATATATTTTTATGTTACACAGGTTATTATCAGTTCTCAATTTTTTATCTAGAGTTTAGAACATATATAGTACCACATTTATTAGACACTTGTATGGTGCGATTATTTTAGTTATGAATACCATTATAAACCAGCGGATTTTTATTGACTTGTTTACTCATAGATCATTGTTTCATCATTTGCTAAAAGATGACTAGAGTGTGAGTTTTTATTCCTCTTTTCCTGAGTTGCTAACTTTTATTCCTCCTACTAAATAATCTTTACATTAATTTATGTTTTTTTACCTAAATGACATCATCTTCAATCTGTTTTTATTTTCACGTCTCCCAGGTCTACGTAACTGGACGGCTCCGTTGGTCACTTTTTGGGATCATTGTGTCGCATATGCAAAAAAATTTATTCTTTGTGGCTGGTGAGCCCCGACTTTTTCCAATGTACGCCACAACAACAAAACGGACATTTGGCTATCCCGCTGGATGTGGTTACGGCGCTCAATAACCTAATGACTACGCTGATACTCACGCACACATTCAGTCGGAAGCTCCACAATGCACCTCGGATCAGCGCTCGCTGACTATGTGCTCGGATCTGAAATCTCACTTCATAGCACATCATTCCACACCAGCACGGGGCAGTAGCTCTTTTGGTTAAGAGTGATGGCTTGTGGCCTACGGTGACTAATGTGTGCATTCGATCTGTTGAAATCCATTCTGTAGGTCTCATGTCTGGCTCTGATGTGCTAGCCCATAAGCGCAAGAAGTGAGTGTGTTTAGCTTTCTATTCACCCGATTTGAAAGTGAATGGAAACATAATGAGACCATACTAGACGACAAACGGTACGTACTAATGCACTACACCATCACAGCTGTAGACATCAACGGTCTTCAAAATCAGTATATCAAATATTTGTTCTTTGTTACATATGATCTACATACAGAGTGATTAGAGTGTTAGTTTGTTCTCTCCCTGCCCTCCGAGCATTTACTTCTTTCTTTACCTTAACAAAAGTCTTATCACTCATTTTATATTTTCTTATGATTTTTATTTTTTATTTAATGACACCATCTTCTAACTGTTTTTATTATCACATCTCTCAGGTCTATGAAACTGGACGGCTCCGTTGGTCACTTGTTGCGATCATTGTGTCGCATATGCAAAAAAATTGATTGATAAGAAGGACGGTGTTTCCCAGCATAACTTAGCCAAAAGATTCAATGTTTCCCAGTAATATATATCCAAAATTATTAACGAAAAGATGAGCATTCGATATTGTAAAAAAATTAAAGTGCCAAAAAGAACATTGGTTCAGAAAGCTACTGTGCATCCTAAGTGCCAAAAGTTAGTTGCACTTTTCCAGAAAAAATGTGTGATAATTGACGATGAATCGTATTTTCTTTTGTGCAACACAGCTTTCTGGCAACGCAGGATATTATACTTCTGATCCCGACACAACTCCTAACAAGGTTAAACTCAAAAGAAAAAGCAAATATAAGCAAAAATTATTAGTTTGGATAACCTTGTCAGAGAAAGGGGTCTCAAAGCATTATATAGCTCCTTTGGGTCAAGCAGTTAACAAGGATGTGTACATTTCCAAATGCCTAGTTAAATTAAAAAAGTTCATCAACAAGGTTCATAAAAACAACAAAATTGTGTTCTGGCCTGATCTAGCTTCCGCACACTATTCAAACAAAGTACAAAATTACCTAAAAGGCAAAAATATTGAATATGTGCCGAGAGACATAAACCCTGCTAATGTGCCTGAATTGCGCCCAAATTTTGGAATGAAATTAAAAGATTGGTGTATGCAGACAATTGGCAAGCTAAAAATCTATGCCAACTAAGAAATCGAATCAAAATATCGATCAAAATCACATACGTAGGCTTGGGGCGAGTATCTTTACAAGAGTTGACCTTGTTTGGGGAAATGGACTTATAAACAAATAATTTTTAATTTTATTTGTAAAATACAAATTTTTTGTTAATTTGCTTTTTAAATTTAAAAGGTTGATAACTCCGTTCAAGAGATATTCATTGAACCCTGAGGAACACCGCAGATGATATTAGGGGCTGTCCATAAAAGATGTTAATAATTTTTCCCGGTTTTTTGGTTTGACAATAAGTAAATATAATGGGGAAAAATAAATAAATACATGAAATAAAACTAAAGTAAATAAATTGGATATTATGATCTTTATAAATAAATGAGATATAATGGGGCAAAATAACAAATAAATAAATGGAATAAAACAAATAAAGTTATATAGGATAAAATGACAATAATAAAAAAAAGTTTGAATATGAAGTTTAGATTTTTTTTTTTTTTCCAGCTGGGTACCCTACGTTATCAGATTTAACATCAGCAAGCAATTCTAAAGAGGTAAGTTTTGTCTTAAACTTACCTCCTGCATCTCCAGTACCTGAATGCAAAGATGATATAAGTTATTGTTACCAATATCCTGGTTGCCAAGACTCAGTTAAAAATTGGTGTAAAAAATCATGCAAACTTTGCAAACCAGGAAGTAAAGTAGATGGTGGTTGGACTGAATGGACAAAGATTTCAGAATGTTCAGTAAGAGTAGTTTTTAAAATGACAAAAATTGAAAAAGATAATCATTTATATACATAATCAAACATTTATGTGCGTATATACATACATCAGGCCTTGTTATGAGGTTGTATTGCATAACCAAAACACTTAACGCTAGTAAATGTAACTTTAACACAGCTTTGATATTTACAATCTTAAAAGTTAAATAATCTCATTAGGGTAAAGTACCTTTAAAGACTATATTTCCTTTTAATTTATTTCTTAAAGCAATCTGATACTCAACATAGTCTTTAGTATTTTTTACGTATTTAATGTAATATCTTTAATTGATTTCAAACAATTTACAGAAAGATTTTAGTTACCAAGGAAACATAAACAAAATTTGTAAACATGAATAAATTATGTTAAAAGAACTTTACTTGAATAAGAAACAAAAAGTTTTGTTTTTTAAAAGAACTCTTTATACATTTGTAAAAAGAGTTCTTTTAAACAAAAAACTTTTCCTTTTTTTAAAAGAAAAAAATAACTTTTTTTATTTGTTTTCAAATATTTTATTCTACAATAAAGAGATTTGTTTTACATTATAATTTAATAAGCAAGAAAAAAATTTCTTTACTAATAAATATTGCAAACTTTTTTGCATTTTTTTGAAACTAAGTTTAATTTTTTAAAATCATATTTAATCCTTAGTCTTTTTAAAAAAATTCTATTTAAAATAATCAGTTGCAGTTAAATGCTTTTTTTATGACAGTATTTTCTGAATAAACAATAAACAATATTAAAAGATAATTTAAATATTCCAATATAAAAAAAGGTTTTGCTCGGGGTAAAACTGCTGAACGTGTATGCAAATTGCCATTTCATACATAAAATGCAAGCTTCGTAATGCTTTTTAACAAGACCTGATATATAACGTATATCAATTTAAAAATTAGCAAATAAATGAGACCAAATCACAACCCACTGATTAACACATCAGTTAGTTTTAATTTTTTTAAATGAGCAACATTTTCTTTTTGATAAAAATATTCCTTTTTTTCAGTGAATCTTAACAAAGAAAAAAATCAAAATTTAAATTCACATTTGTGCAAATTTTATGAAGAGAAAATCAACAAATATAAATAACTTGTTTCTTTTTAGTATAAGGTTGCTCCAGAATAATTGTTTATACGCATTTCCAATTTCTTGAACAAATAAAATTGTGAAGTCAAAATACTTATCAAAAAATTTTTCTAGTTATGTAGCTATGCCTTTCTATAAGTAACTTGTACCTTTAAAAAAAAATGGTAAAATTAATATGGTAGTTTAATATGGTGCCTTTAAAATAATATAAATTAGTTATATATAATTAATAATATAAATGTAGTTATATTATTTATTATATAAATAATATAACTACATTTATATTATTTATATAATAATTTACATATTATAAATAAATTACCTATTACAATTTGTATTATTAAATTAAGTTGCTGATAAAACCAAAAAAATAGTAGTAAAATGATAAAACTAAATATTTTCAAAAGCTATTTATCTCTAGGTTTTTTATCTCTAGGATCTTGATCTACCAAATTGATAAAGTCTATCCCTATTTATTTCCCCATCAAACATTCATCTTTTACTAGACTAGGCATTAGTGACATAATAGTGTCTTTGGCGGCAGGATTAGCTCTCCTTTGTGCTCTAATTATATAGTTAACTAGCACTTGCTCAGCTGCTTTCATCAAAAAAGTGCAGGAATTTATTTTTTTGACCATAGAGGCTTTTCTACTAATCTTGTCCCTCAAGGTTGTTATAGGAATGCCATAATGCTTTGATGCACCAGTTGTGCTTCTTTGATCACTAAAAAATAGGTTTTAAAATATTTAGCTACCTAGACTATAAGACTTAATAAGAAAGTTTATTAAGTTTATTAGATACTGAAAGTTAATAGATACCAATGTTTCATAAAGGTAAATATAGTTTAAGTTTAAATCTCTTTTTAATCAATATATATATATATATATATATATATATATATATATATATATATATATATATATATATATTTTTTTTAACATCTTCACTTCCAACAAGGCTGCAAGCAACCACTATAAGAGTTGGAAGTTACTGGAAGAGAAAAGACTAAATCTGTAGAGCAAGATGACGATTGACTGATGACTTAAAAGATTGCAAATTATATGAATCAGGAAAGCAAGATGAAGGAAGCGAATTCCAAAGAACTGATGTTCGAGGAAAAAAACTAGAAGAATAAGAGTTTTTGAAGCACTTAGGAACAGTCACAGAAAAAGGATGAGACTTAATTGAATGGCGAGTAACACGAGAATGAATTTTAGTAGATGGCACAAGGGACGCTAGCTCTTTAGAGCAGTGCCCATTATAGTATTTGTAGAAAAGAGAAAGAGAAGCAACATTACGACGATGTGACAATGGTTGGAGATTGGCTGCCAGAGCAGGTCCAACTATGTTTACAATTCGTTTTTGCACCTTGTCTAAAAGAGAAAGAGCATCTTTAGAAGATCCGCCCCAGATGTGGCAACAGTATTCCATACAGGGACGGATTTGAGATTTATAGAGATAGAGAATAGAATCTGGAGTAAGAAAGTGTCGAGCTCGATAAAGAGATGCAACCTTAGCAGATGCTAATTTTGCAATGGATTTGATATACGGTTTAAAAGAAAGATCAGAAGTAAGAGTTAATATATATATATATATATATATATATATATATATATATATATATATATATATATATATATATATATATATATATATATATATATATATATATATATATATATATATATATATTGGGTTGGTAAATAAGTTATTGCGGATTTTTTTTAGAAAATAAAAGACAACTTTTTCCATTTGAGCTACCATCTTTCAGGCAACATCATAATTCCATGTTTATAAAACTTCTGGTTGTTATCAACAAAAAACTGAACCAGGTACAATTTGATATCATCATCATTATTGAAATTTTTACCATTCAAGGAGTTTTGCAAAGATCGAAATAATAAGTAATCAGATGGTACAAGGTCAGGGCTACATGGTGGATGTGGCAAAACATCCCAACCAAGCTCCAATAATTTTTGCTGAGTGACCAAAGATGTGTGTGGCCTTGCATTGTCACGATGGAGTATAACACCTTTTCGATTTGTCAATCCGGCTGCTTTTCTTCAACTGCATTGTTCAATTTTCAATTTTAGTTGTTCAATGTAAACATCTGAATTGATTTCTTTGTAATCCCATCAAACTGATAACATTCATTTGATGAGTATCAGCTTTTGATGTTGTTTGAGCTGCTTCACCTGGTTTGCTCCACAATCTTTTCCGATTGAGATTGTTGTAAACAACCCATTTTTCATCACCAGTTATCAATCATTTTAAAAATGGATTATTTTCATTACAATTCTTTGATAATTCGCAGATGTTAATGCGTTGTGTTAAATGATTTTCTTTTAGTTCAAGAGGAACCTATATATCAAGTTTTCGTACATAGCAAAGTTGTTTTAAGCAATTTTCAATGCATGTATGTGATACATAAAGATTCTCTGCAATCTCACATGTTGTACTGTGATGATCCAAATTGATTATTGCTTTGATTCGGTCGTCATCAACTTCAACTGGATGACCAGGGCGTTTTTCATCTTTGAGTAAAAAATTACCAGAATGAAATTTGGCATACCAATTTTGACAGTTTATTTAAAGCTTCATCACCATAAACAGCGCGTAACTTTTTGTGAGCTTGCAATGCGTTTTTTCTTTTCCGGAAAATAAAAAAAAGTAAAATATGACAAAAATGTTTGTTTTGATTTTCCATTTTTCAACAGATGCCAAATAAAAACTGCACAACTGATCAAAAAAAATTTTTTTTTCTGATTGACAGTTGAAGTACTAACTATCAAATAACAAAATGTGTTTGACATTCGATTATGTCAGCAAACCTAAAAATTCAACTAAAGCCATCTATAAGTGAAACCTGCAATTACTTAGTTGCCAATTTCTAAAAAAGAAAATTTGTTTTTAAAAAATATCATAATTATTTAATTATATGCTGTAAGTTTTTTCCATATAAATATAAAAACAAAAAAATGATGTTGTATAATGGTTTATAAAAAATTTAAATGGCAACCATCAACAGTGGAAACTACAAGCAACTACCAATGTCAATGGTAAGTGACTACTGGTGAACACTGGCGAAGATTGAAACGCTTATTATATGGCTATTTTAAAATAAAATTGAGCCATGTAACTAATTTAATTTAAATGTCCTGAATGAGATATGTCTTTGAGGTCGAAATCGCTACTTTTGAACTTCGTAAACCAATATCAAGCAGTTCTTTCAGCTACAGCACCCTCTCGGTATACGCCACAAGTTTCTCTAGCAGCTTCCGTGGCTTGTGCACCTCTATTAAAAGCAAAACAAAAATGGTGTCAAAAATACTCATTTTTATCAACTTGAAACTCCATGTCAATGCTCTAAAAAATAAAAAAAATCACTAAAAAGTAAAAAATACTTTTTATTTGATTTTTTTGGAAAAGTTTTTTCCAAAAAAATCCTATGCTTTTTTTTTAAAGTTATAATCACCATGTTTTTATTAGTTACAAAGTGAATATCAGAGTTTTTTTAAATAAGATTTCGAAACTTTCCATCAATTAGTTTTTGCTCTGCATGTTTTTTAGTGACCAAGTGGCAAATACTAGGTTGGATGGCGAACACTGAGTATTTAACTCTCTCTCTTTATATATATATATATATATATATATATATATATATATATATATATATATATATATATATATAGATATATATATATATATATATATATATATATATATATATATATATATATATATATATATATATATACACACATATATATATATACAGTGCTTTTTATAAAGTATAAATCATCCTGCCACCTTTTTATAAATCTCTTTATAAAACAATGATTAGGTGGAATGGTATTTTTAATTTACCAAATACCATCCCATTCCTTTTTTTTCTCCACTTCGAGCACTGTTTATATATATGTATATATATATATATATATATATATATATATATATATATATATATATATATATATATATATATATATACACATATATATATATATAATTATATATATATGTATGTATGTATATATATATATATATATATATATATATATATATATACATATATATATATATATATATATATATATATATATATATATATATACATATATATATATATATATATATATATATATATATATATATATACATATATATATATATATATATATATATATATATATATATATATATATATATATATATATATATATATATATATATATATATGTATATATATATATATATATATATATATATATATATATATATATATATATATATATATATATATATATATATATATATATATATGTATATATATATATATATATATATATATATGTATATATATATATATATATATATATATATATATATATATATATATATATATATATATATATATATATATATATATATATATATATATATATATAGTCTTGCATGGTAGTCACAAAGTTTTTCCCATAAACTGTTGTTTTAAAGAGCGCGTTAATAAGCAGAAAATGTTTAAAACACTTCAAAAAAAATTTTTGTTTTGTTTTAAATGATAGACTGCCTGCCCAAACCAAACCCTCAGTTGATGTAGCAGCACTCTTTTGCGAGTCAGGCTGTTTGTCATTCGTTGTAGCAGCACTCCGTTACGAGTCAGGCTATAAGATAGTCGATGTAGCAACACTTACGCATGTTTTAAAAATGTTTTTTAATAAAACAAAAACACTACTAATTAAAAAAAACTTTCTAGTCATTATTATTGCGGTTTTTTTAAAAAACAATAAAATTTAATATACTTCCGCATTAATTTAATTGCTTTGACATTTCGATGACAATCAAATACAGCTTAAGAGACGAGGTAATAAAAATTATAGTCGAAAGAGTCTTTTTTTACCATAAAAGTCTCTTTCGACTACACTTTAAGGATATATATATATATATATATATATATATATATATATATATATATATATATATTATTGTTGAACCTTACCCAGTTTTAAATTGACAAATCAATCGAATGTACAATTATTTTAATTACAACAGTTTACTTTACAAAAATCAGGTTTTAAAGACAATAACTCAACTGAATATACAGTATTCTAGTTTATATACAAAAGCTCAAATTCTTTTGAATCCAAAGCATTAGATATTGTAAGTCACAATATTTTGTATTACAGAATAAATAGCAGATTTTTAAAATGATTTTAAAGCAATTTGTAAAAAAATGATATTATCTATTGTTATGATGTAACTTGTCAAAATAATTTTGTAAATAAATCTTGTTTTGTTCCACAAAGTTCTTTTATACCAACTTTTTTTCTTGATTCACAAAATGAATTATGTAAGGCTCAAATCTATTATTGTGATTGTTGATGATGCCAATCTATACATCTCGAATGATGATATTTATAAATTTTTTTTGACTACAGATAACAAACAGCACAAAGCATCCAGTTATTTCAAATGTAAAAAATTAACTCTAAACATAAAAAAAATGAAATGGACTTTCTTTTATTGCCTTGCTAAAAAACTTTTTTTTATTGATCAAATTGAAATAAAATGACAACAGAATGTTTAGGTATTTTTCTTACTGAAAGCACAAAAATAACATATTAATTGCATTTACACAAAAGTTCCCAAAAGTTTTTATTTAAAATTTAGATTTTTTTTTTTTAAAATATTTTATACATTTTATATTTTATTTTATTTAAATATCTGTGTTAGAATTATTTTATTAAATAAGTCTAACGCAGCTCTAATACACAATTTTTCACACAAAGTTTTTTTTACACTTTAATTAATGCTTTTCACACTTCAATTTACAACCAAAAGTATCTTAACCGTAACGTGTTACCCTTTGCCAATCCATTTATTTTATTTTATTAAAAAAGTGTTAAAAAAAAATCTAATAGTCATATCATGGTGCACTGTGGAGGAGCATTTATCCAGGAAGTTTACTCCTCTTACCTTACAAATTGAGCTAGAGCCAGCATCGAACCTCAAACCTTTTGGTTTTGAACCAGAACTCTAACTGTGCCACCACTGTTGTAATTAATTTTGCAGATCTGTTTTTTTATACTAGAATTTTTTTTATGGAATTTGTTCATAAACATTGAATGTATTCAATAACTTAAATTCATATAAGTTCATAAACATGAATGTATTCAATGTTTATGAACTAGCTGAATTTAATGTTTTATGTTTTAAATATATGTGGAAAAACAATTTATACCATTAGTCATTAAAGGTTTATTTATTTTAAGATAAATAATTATTACTAAGAATTACTAATTATAAATAATTAAAGATTATAAACAAATATCTTTAATAGGTTAAGTGCTAATTTAGAATTTAATTTTTTAAATGTTTTTTTTTTCTTCACTCATATTTACCACTATTGTTGTAAAGGATATATTTCTTTACTAAGCATTTACCAATGCTGATGTATGTTTTGGGCATTTCATTAACCTAATTTTGCTTGAATGCTGGAATAAAACATTTATTGCCAAAATATCTCAAATTCTACATACCATTGTCTATCTGTCTTGTATACTTAATTGTACCATTTTTTTAAAACATAAAAACAGTCACATGAAAACAGTGTCATAGAAACTGAACAACTTTATGGCATTTCTTTTTGCATATGAGGTGTTTAAGACTTTTATGTTATTTTTATTCAATATTCTAATGTATGATTTATTTCTAAGTAGCACAACCGAATATTTTATATTCCAGTGTATGTTTTTTTTTAATGTATTCTAATGTATGTTTTTTTTTCAATGTATTCTAATGTATGTTTTTTTTTTCAATGTATTCCAGTGTATGTTTTTTTTCAATATATTCCATTGTATGGTTTCTTTTCAATGTATTCTAATTTATGTTTTTTTTTCGAGCCGAAACTAAATAAAAGTAAAAAAAAGTGCTGACAATTAAGTGGTAGTTTTTTAAAGTTTACACTTTTATATATTTTATATATTTCGTTACTACTTATAAGTATTTTTTACTTTTAAATAATTCTCTTATAAGTTATACCTTTCTTCTTTTTTTTTATTACTAAATGTTCTGTTGCTCTCTCAGTAAAATTAATTCAATTTCCTGCTAAGAATTACTGTTGAATAGTGATTAATTTCTGTTGCTCTTTTAGCAACACTATTCTTTTTTTCTATTTTCTATTTTAGTCTTTTGAACATCAAAAGATTAATGAGTTGAAATTAAATTTTAATAAGAACAGTAAAAATATTTGCAATAACTCAATTGTTCTTTAAACTTATATTTTTGGAATAAGGTAGAAAATAATTTTGAGCTTTCTTTTCTTGTTTCTAAGCTCCAACTATTGTAAATTTTTGCAAAGATTCCTCATTAATAGCCACTAAGTTTAAAGGACAATCGAAAAAGCTACTCTAATTTTTTTTTTCCAAATTGTTGCTGTATACTCAACTCTATCTCAAAAACACAAAACTTGACAAACAACAGTGGCTGGTGCGCAAAACAATACGTTTAAAACAGGGACCATGTTCCTGGTCAAACCTGCTACAGAAGTACTACTACTACATTACCACCATTGTTACTACACCATAATTGCATATATCAATGTATGCACTGATGGTGTTAAACTCAAACTATTGTCTATGGAGCTTTTTTTTATAACTTCATAAATGATAAATTAAACATTGTTGAACAAAGACAATTTAAACTTTTTTCACAAACTGTGATTTTTTCCTCACGTGTTGTGCAGCATTGCATTTTACACAATTTAATATCTTATATATATAAAACATTATTCTATGTTAGGGCGATAACAAGTATGAAGAAGTTCGTTATTGCATGAATCCAATTCCAAGAGAGGGAGGTAGAGATTGTGTTGGAGATGACCAGCGTTATCATGTTTGTAGCAACTGCGAATGTGATGATGTCATTGACACTTGTGATCAATATAAAAGAGCTGGTTATTGCGAAAAGACAATAGATTGGGCAAAAATAAATTGTTGTAAAACATGTTTTTGCGATTCTTCAGAAACAGGTTTGTTATTTAATTTATTCCAGTAAACAATGACTCAATTAATGACATCCTGATTATTTATTATTATATTATTTGTATAAATTAAAAGTTTTATTATTTTAAATATTTAATATAATATTTTATTTTGAGCGTTCCAAACTTTATAAGATAACAAGATGTCAATATGAAAAGCACTGAAAATAAACTTGAAAAAAGTGTACTGATTTACTAAAGTTCTTAAAGATTTACTTAAGTAATAAAACAATGTTAAAGGTTACAAAAATTTTTTTTTTTTTTTTTTTTTGTAGTTTTACTTTTTTTTTTTTATCAACTTACGTATTTCATTTAAAGTAAACTTGTTTAAGCTGCAGATTTTAGTTGTTCATAAAAAAAGTTAAAAATTCTAGTTAGATTCTAGTTAGATGACCCAGCCCAGTACTTAAATGAAGAATGTACTTGAAGCCCAGTACTTAAATGAAGCATTCTATATATAGAAGAATAAGAGATTTAAATAAGTAAAGAATAGAATCCAAAAAGAAATAGAGACAATTTTAGCTGAAGCTATTTTTGAAATGGGTTGAATGACTTAGTCATCAGCAAATTTAGACAATAATATAGAGGAAAATTATTAATGTAGATGCAAAACAATACCAAGTACAGTACCAAGGATAAAATCTTGGTATAATCTTAAGAAGATACTAAAAAAAGGATGTGGGGTGTTGTAAAGAGCAACAAAAAAAATGATGTGGTTGTCACGAGCAACAATAATACTTCAATTTTTTAGAAAGAAAATATTCAACAAATTTGAACCAGATGAACTGAATGATAAGAGCATACAGAGTAGAGCAGTAAAACAGACTTTTGATATTTTAAAAGCATTGGTTCGCATTTGTCTAATGCTTCATTCGTCTAAATAAATTAATGAAAAGATTTATGTAGTTATCTAGACTTATCTTTGAAAGAATAATAAGATGAGACCATATATAAAAGATATTTGATGATATTTGTTGGTGATTTTTTAATATTTGACTTTGTTAAAGATTTTCCAAAAGTACTTTGGAGACAAATAGAAACTTAAAATTTTACTTTGAAAACGTAAAATACAAAAAAAAAGTAAAAAAATACAAATAAAAAAATACAAGAATTGCTTCCAATTGCATGTTGATTTTTCAATTATTTATTCAAATATATTGACATGTTGAATTACCTTATAACTATTATGCATCAACTGTATTTTGGAGAGCAGGCCAATATGTATTAGAAAGTTGTCATAAGGTTGGTATTTCTAAAGGAGTATAGCCAGTTAAAAGTCAATTGGATCAGTGGGTTGAAGCAAAGAAAAATGCAAACAGTTTGTGAATAAAATCAACAAAACTAGCCAACTGTCAACGTCATAATGAGCAACAAAATTTAACAAATGCAACAGTCAAAATAATTTGTGTAATGAGTAAAACATATTGTTGAAGTGGCTCCATGACATCAGGTTGTTAAACAATTTTTGGTGTCAACATTACACTGTCCTTAAAGACATTAGCAAACAAATGAAAAAAAGTATTTTTTCAACTTCAATTACTGAAAGTTTTCTAAAAGAAAAGACTCTTTAAATAAAAAAGATTGTTAATATATGAGTAAATAAGAAAAATTGTTAATATATGAGTATATAAGAAAAATTGTTAATATATGAGTATATAAGAAAAATTGGTTAAAAGTATTGATATAAGAAAAAGTATTGATATAAGAAAAAAGATTTATACATAATAAGACTACTTAAAAATGTGTTTTCTTGCTTTTATTGGTATTTTAATGTAAAAATGTCTTCCACAACATTAGCAACTTTTTTGCTTTTATTGGTATTTTAATGTAAAAATGTCTTCCACAGCATTAGCAACTTTTTTATAACTACTTAAAAAAAGTAAAAAAATCAATAGTTATTGGATATTTTTTTTTAGGATCTTAGAACATCTTAGCATAGACTCAATAAGTTTGATAAATTTTTTTTGATGTAATCTCATTCCAGGTGGCTTTAATAGCTTTAAATAGCTCATCAGCGTTTTTGTAGTGTCCTTTGTGTTTTAAGGAAAGTTCAACTTGGTACCATAAATTTTCAATTGGATTGAGATCAGGTGATTTAGCTAGCCACTTCATTATTTTAATTTGATTCGTTTAAAACCATTGTTTAATGAGTTTAGAGGTATGTTTTGTTGAAATAGTCATAAAAGAATGTTATTATCAGCATGAGGAACTATTTTTCTGTGAGAATATTTCGATAAACAAATTGATCCATAATGCCATTTATTAGATGGATACAGAAAAACAACCCCAAACCATTGTACTTTTCCCATCACCATGCTTGATTGTTTCTCTTGTGTATTTAGGATTTAAATGTTTACCAATTTCTATTTACCTTCAAATTGCCATCAGAACCTTTCATATTAAACTTTGATTAATTGCAATACTCTTTTCCATTCCATAATCCAGTCTCTATAAACATTTGCAAATTTAATTCTTTTCAACTTTTCAGTTCTTTAGAGAAATAAAAGATTTTTTTTGCTGTTCCAAAGCTCAAAAGTCCTGAATGTTGTAACCCTCTGCAAATTGTATTTTGAGACACTGAAATTTTCATTTTTTGAATGATATCATTAGGGCTGTGAAAATGGATTCTTTTTGGCATGACAAGTAATTTTTCTGTCCCTGAAATAACATATTTTGTCTCCTGTCTTTAGGAGACAAAATCTTGTCTTTTCTTTTTTCTGAAACAACATGTTTTCTCTCCTGTCCTTATGTTTTGAAACAACATTATGTTTCTAAAGGATTTATGATTTATGTTCTTTAGTTTCCATTTTTATTTCATCTGTAGAAATGCGGCAATTTTTAAGGGCACTATGGACAATACATCTAACTTCTCTTTTTGTAGTGTTTTTCTTCCTGATCTAGAACGACAGGCTGTTTCTCCTGTGTCCTTATACTTTTTCAGAAAATCAAAAATGGTACTTTTTCCACATCCAATCTGTAAAAAAAAGCAATTTCTCTATGAGTCATTTCAAATGATGATATTTCAATAATTCTTCCTTTAATGACATCATTAAGGAGAATTATATACATATATATATATATTATATATATATATATATATATATATATAATTATATATATATATATATATATATATATATATATATATATGGTATTTTATATATCTAATCTAAAAAGTAATAATTTAGCATTATGAATACATATCAGATTTTATACAAGCTTAGGGTTAGATTAACCCTGACTATATACAGTTTATATTTCTATTTTATTAAAAAATCTTGAGTTATTAAACCATAAAAATTCATAAAAACAAGAAAAAAATAAACTTAGGTTCGATGTGAAATTCATGTTTAATATAAAAAAATACAATAACTGAAACAAAAAGCGGAGATATGGATTTAAACCTCCTTGAAATATTTTTAAAAGTTTTTCGCAAAAAAAAACTTGGCTGCTTTTTTTTTGTCTTAACTGTATTTATTTATTTTCAAGTCTTATTATGTATGAATCTTTTTTCTTAAATGTAATATTAACTATTTTTTTCATTTGAAGAGTCTTATTTTAGGAATGTTGCTGTATTCAGTAATAGAAGGTAGAAAAGTATTTTTTTTATTTGGTTGCTAATGTTTTGGAGGACAGTGTATGTTTTACTAACATCCAACATCAGCTGAATTTTGGGTTATAATTTGATAGTTTGAGCAGTCTGATAGGTTAAGGAAAACTAGTATAAAATCTAGGTTATCACCAAAAATAGGCCTTGAAATTTAGTTAGTTCAGGCTTGTAACAATCCCTGGTCCATTACATTTTTTGTAGTGAGCCTGTAATTGTAGCCTATAAAGCACCAATTATAATACAGCCCTGCTAACAGGAAGTTCCACTTCAAAATTAACTGAAATGGTAACTATGGTAGAGTTCTTTCTGAACTTTTAGTTTATCATTGATTAAATTTAATAAATATTAAATGCATCACAGTTTTTTTTTTGGTTAAAAGTTTTAATATGGTACTACACCAAATAAATAACTGTAAATATAATTAAAAAAAAATATTAAAGAATTAATTAAGATTGACATTGTCTTACAACTAGGGCTGTCTAAAATTGTAAAGTTGCCTGTCCGGGTACCCGTCGAATAAATGGGCAGGTACCTGGGAGCCCATTAAAAAAATAAATTTTTTTAAAAAAGTAGTTTTTATAAACACTAAATAAAAACTTTACATTTCATAATGTCATTTAGAGTCATTCTTTTTCATTTCCTAAATCATTATCTAAACTTTGTTTTACTTTAAGTATCTAGGTTACACAAGTCAAATTTATGGTTTAGAAATGTCTACTGTTTTGGTTGCCAAAAATGCATGTTGTCAAGCGACCACATGATCAGCAGTCGAGAAAGTGCATTCTGATGGCACTGAAGTTGCATGTATGCACATTTACATCATACTACGCTAAAATAGCATCATCAGGTTCATCAGGTTTTGAAAGAGTTTTTTCCAAGAGACAAAATAATAAGCAAGTTGGAAAAGTTCTGATTTACGTAAAAGAAAACATTGTGTATAGGAATAATAATAATCATTGTTCAATGTTTTCAAAAATTGTTATGGCGATAAAGAAATTGTAACTATTGATATTCGTAACAAGATTTGTAACCACAAAGAAAATCTTTAAGACCTTCAAGATGTACTTTTACATACCAAGTTAATATTGTTAAATTATTATGTTGCAATTAATGATTTTAAGCTTTAATATAATTAAAAATAAATATATATAATTTAAATTTAGTAATGCTACTCGAGCAATAAACAATGAGCAAGTGGGTACCTGGTACCCAGTACTCTAGGTACTCATTGACAGCTTTAGTTGCGACTACAAGTTTGCAAAATTTTATGTTCTTGATTTGTTATAGAAAAGCTTAGAGAGATTTGATATTAAATACTAACTGATAAATGATTAATTTTAAAATAAGAAGAATAATTGTATGATAACTATGTAGTCTTTAATTATTTTTATTTTTGTCTGCAAATTTTCTTTTGAATTTATGGACAAGTAATATACCCAAATATCAGTGGCAGGACCATAATAATCATTTCTTTCAAGCAATTTTGGTGAAGCATATGGAGGGCTTTGACTCCATATTTTAAGTTTCTTACCAACCTCAAACATGATGTTGAACCCAAATTCTGCAAAGGTCATAAAAGCAATATTTAAATCTCTCATAGGCCCAGCTCCTGCCATCTTAGTTGTAAAAAGTTATTCAAGAAGAAAATAGACCTTCTAATGATGCCCCAAAAAGATTGTTAATTTTGTAATAAATAATGCATATGTACGCAGAGGTAAAGGGGGAGTTGTTGAAAGTATTTAGGTGCATACAATGGGGAGTGGGGGTCCTAAATTAGTGGTTTTACTGCGTACATACTTTATGGATGCTCCCTAATTAAAAATATCACAACAGCTAAGATTCAACCTGGTGGGTTGATAAAAATAGGTACACCAGCTAATTTTAAATAGGATAGTTTTTATAAAATATAAAAATTTATTACGTTTTGCAACCACAATAAGAATTTATCATGTAGGATCAGTTAAATAAATAATTTTTAAAATAGTTTTAAAAAATGATTAATTTATAACTCAATTTTTTTTTAAACTTGAACTCTTGTTTTAATTAGAAAAGATTTTATTATATAGCGTACAATTCTTCAGTTACAGGTAAATTTAAAAAAGTAACAAAGCAATGGCACTCAAAGATTATTTTTTTTGGTAAAAATATCACTTAGCCATTTTTTTAGCCAATTGAGGATCTCAGATACTGTAACCTAAAAATTTTAAATGAAAAAGAAATCAAGAAAGATAACGAAAAGCTTAACCAAAACTAAAGAAAGTTACCACAGTGTTACCTATATTTAGCAAGAAGAGAAGTTAGCAAAGTAGATTTTAAAGTTTTACCATATGCAAGAAGAACCTTTACCGTGGATAGGTGTAATAGTTAATAAAACCGTTGTGGTAAATCGTCTACTAAAACTAACTGAGCAGTTTTTTTGAATCGTGATGATAACCATTATTGCCTGTTTTCTTTAAAATATTAGGAGAAAACAACGAAAAAAATATCATATCTATATTTCAACTTTTTATTTTTTTTCAAATCTCTTTAATTAACTTTTAGTAGACCTGCACATAAACTTCTGTATCAATACTAATACCAATTATATTATTATTTTATTTTTTTCATTATTATTTTTTTATAAATATAATAATAATAAGTTCAATTTTTTGTTGACAGTTAGTGGAACGAGTTTTATTATGAACTGAATATTTAAAATATATATGTTTATATTTATTAATTACTTATTATAGCTTTATTGTTTTAATTATAAAACTTTGATTTGTTTTAGTTATAAAACTGTAATTTATTTTAAATTAAACTTTATTTAGTTTGTCAAAATTATCATGATGATTGTAATGCTTTCGCTAGTCGAGGTGATTGTGGTTCGCCGGAATTTACAACTTGGATGCAAGCAAACTGTGCAAAAGCTTGCCAATTTTGTTGAAAATAGTAAACCATGATTAAAAGTATTGTAGTTTTAATGGAAGTATTAAATAAAACTTTTTGCAATAGTTATTTTGTATTACTATTTAATAAAATGTTTTTTAAGTAATAAGAGTAAATCTTCCAAATATAAGTTGTCGTAAATTTAATAGTTTTATTTTTTTAATTTGTAAAAAAATGAACTACAGCCATGTGGATACTGTGTTACTATAAACTAAGGGGTCGTTCATAAATTACATCACACAATTTTTTACTGTTTTTGACTCCCTTCCCCTTTTTCATAGCATCGTAGCTTTTTAGTAACAAGTTCTGCACGAGTCATCACGAAAACATAACCCCTACCCCTAGAACGTGTAATTTATGGATGACCCCAAAGTAACAATGTCATTATATCTCAGTTGTTCTAATGTCTCACTTGTAACAGTTGACAACTGCGTAAATGTTAACTTTTTAAAATAATTTGGTAGACAGCTGTATTTAGCTCTATACTGTATTTAAGCTGTACACTGTATTTGTGGCCAGAGTTCCTCTTTATTAATAATTATAGGAATATAATTTAACGTTATAAAAAATTATTTAAATGGTATTATTAATCGGCATGAATTTAATTACACTAATTAAAATGTAATTTACTTTTTTTGATGCCAATTTAGTATTTAAGAGTCTTTGATATTGTTTTTTAGTTTCTGGTTTGAAAGCAGTTTGACACTGACATCTTGCAATTTTTTTTGTTTTAGGTTTAATAACCACGGAGCTTTAATAAGAACAAATTTAATAAGAACAAATCTCAATAGTTCGGTTCTCCTAGTTTTCCTAATAGTATTTGAAGAGCCAGTGCGTTAATGGTTCTTTAAAGGATCAAAGGCTAAAGACCGAAATTCTGATCTTTAGCCCTTGATCCTCTTGAGGCTTTTTTTAATGTTAAAGATTATAAAAAATACACAGACTCAATAATTTTAAAAAAAGTAACCAGACCTGTTCATTTATCTTTAAAAAAATAACTAGACGCCCTTCATTAATCTTTAAAAAGATAACCAGACCCCTTCATTATTCTCAAAGCAAATTAACAAGAAATAAGTGTACAGACAGTTGAAAGATTGGTGGCAAAAAATAGTTTCGATATTTAGAAAAAATGTTGTGATATGTATGCAAAATAAAAGTTGGCTGATGTTGCGGTAAACGATGGTTTTTACTTTAAATAAATAGTTAACATTCGAATATTTAGAATAAAATTATTCGAATAAATAGTTAGCACTCGAATATTTAGCATATTTATATTCGAATATTTAGCATATTTAACATCGAAAAATTAAATGCTATCTTATTTGCAGATAACTCAAACCTTTTATATTAATACTTTTTATTAAAGATGGCTTCTTTTAAAAAATTTAACGAAAAATTAGATGAGATAAACGAGTGGTTAATAAACCATAATTATAAATAACCGACTTTCATTGAATGTAGAAAAAATTATATTTATCTTATTTCATAAACCTAGTGAAGTTAGTAATATTCCTCCTAAATTACCCAATCTTTTAATCAATAAAATAATATTTAAAAGGGAATGAACCACTTACTTGAAGTATTAGATAAAAAAATGTCTTGGAATTCTCATATTACTCACGCAAAGCCTCTCTTACTTAACAAGAACATTCTTAATATTTATGAGGTTATAAGCCTCTCTTACTTAACAAGAACATTCTTAATATTTATGAGGTTAATATTTTCAATGTACTTTGTTTTATACTTAAATGCAAACCTCGTGTCCAGTTTCTTTTGGTGAAATTTATATTCATGTAAAGAAAAAAGCAAATATGCATTGCGAAATAATATTAATATTATAATAACATTATTCGACAACCAAAATTTAAATCAAATTTTGGCAAATCTTGCATTCCATTCCGTGAGGATTTTTAAGTAACAAAAAAGTTTTGAAAAATATTAGTTTTACTCGTGAATCGAGTTATTATTCCTTTAAAAGAAAACTAAAAGAAATCGATAACGATTTCTTTATTTTTGAATATTTGCTTTTAATTGCTTCTTAAAGTATTTTAACACTTTATTTTTAATAGGATTTGTTAATTTTTAAAAAGATTTATTAATTTTTTATTTTTATTTTGGTGTCACACCTCTGTGTAAGGTCGTGATATCGCATAATCAGCTAAAATACGTACACTTTGTTGAAAATCCATAACAACCATAAGAACTCGGGCGGGTACCCAAGTACACGTTAAAAAAAACAATCATTTTCGTAAACGTTGTTCTGAAAAACAGTCAATAAAAACTTTTCATTTGATGATGTCATTTATTTACAGTTATTCTTTTTCATTTATATCTAAACTCTATTTTAATTTAACTCTCCAGGTTACACAAGTCCCGATTACGGTTTAGAAATATTGGTATGTTTACTGTTTTGGGTGCCAAAGGTATACGCCATCGATCAACCACATGACCAGCTGTCAAGAAAGTACTTTTTGATGGCACTGAAGTTGCATTTTGTATCTTGCATGATTGTATCTTGGAAGTTACAACCATGCAAGATAATTGTATCTAGCATGATTGTAACTTTCATCTTTTGTATCTAGCATGATTGTAACTTTCATCTTCCAAGTTTTAAAAAAGTTTTTTCCGAAAGATAAATTAATAAACAAGCTGGAAAAGTCTGATTTACGTAAAGGAAAACATTGACCATAGGAATAAAAAAAAATAATAATAATAATAGCAATAATAATAGTAATTATAATAACTGAAAAATTATTATTTATAAAAACAAAAAACTAGTGCAAACTAATTTTTTGTTTTTAAAAATAATTATTTAAAGTAAGATCATCTAATTTTGTGTATAAAAAATTGTTTTATAGTGAGATAACAAAATAATCCGGAAGAAAAACTCAAATAACTATTTGTACACAGCATGAAAACATAAATACACAGTAGATGAACTCAATAGAAAACGCAACTAAATAAAGGAATGAACAATACCTGTTTCAGAAGTTAACCTTATAGTGTATAAATTATACTTTTGTTTTGTTAAAATGAAAAAAAAAGATTTATTATAAAAACAAATTATATAGATAGTTGACAAAATTTTTTTATATATATTTATAAATAAAAGGAGAGACGTAAAGAAGACGGCGTCAACTTCCTCGTTAAATACTTTTCCAATTGTGACAAAATTGTCTTTTTAGAACACCTTAATAATCTGGAAAAAAAACGCACAAAAGCTGATTATCTCAAAGATCTGTGAAAAAGGCAAACATAATTTGAAACAAATTTTTATTGTAAAAAATTTTTTATTTACAAAAATTATGCTTAATTAGTAGTCATTTTTGTGAGAATATTTTTTATTTCGAGAGTTTACATCAAAGTTGAGTTTTTATATACGGTAAATGCCTTAGTCTTTTTCAATCATACATTCAAGTGATAAATATGAGAGGTAAACATTATGATTTAAACCATATGAAACATTAAATAATACAACGACATTTTGCATTGTGTGCAACTTGGTTTGTTATGGGTAAAAAGTTACATAAATTTGAAGTTTGCTCAAACACCAAAATCATTGTTGCTTTTTGTTAATTACACAAAACCATTATTAAAAAAATAATTAAATAGATTAAGGACAAAAATTTTAATTATTTTATTGAGATTATAAATTTTTTCAAATGTTCTAAAATAAGTTTAGGGCATTAGAAATATTGACATTTTTTTTTATATTGGACAGTCCTCAAACAACTCAAATTTATTGTTTGCTATTTTTAAAACGGTAATTGTAAAACCGTCATTTAAAACATACATTTAACAATACATTTTTATTAGTTTATTATTGATGACAGATTAAACTAAGGATATTAACAAAAGATAACTATACTGATAAATAAAATTAATTATTAAGTTTTTTAACTACCTTAGTTATTTTTAATTATATTAATTTGTATTTTTTGTTATAAATTAATTTTACCTTTTATTTGTTGTTTATTTTAATCACATTACCTTAATATGTAGTTTATACTCCAATATAAAGTTATTAAAGGTACTTAAAATTTTTTTTGAGATTATTTGATAATTTACTCTATTTTTTGTTTGAGCATAGTTGATAATCCACCCGCGCTTTAGATTCCAATAATTCAAAAAAACGTTATAAGTTAAATATGGCATTTTTTTAAAAACAAGATCGTTTTAAAAAATGTTTTAAAAAACAAGATGGTTGCTTCGTAACTGCATTTTTAAATCAAATTTTTGAGACAAGATGGCTGCTTATTAACTGCATATTTTTCTATCTGGCATATAATTATTAACTGTTTTTTATTTTTGTTTTAGTTGAAAAATTTATTGATACCTAATAAAGAACTAATCTTATTAGGAAAGACCCATAAAACACGCATTTATTTAAAAAAAGATCAAGTTTCTACTTTTTACTGAACAAGTTTTTCAATTTAACAATGTTGAAAGAATTCTACATTTTAGGAGGAATTATTTTTGTTGCTATATTGTTTATTTTTATATGGATGGTAGGTTCATATGTATTATGCTGTTTTACATTTCTGTGTAAATCAAAAGGTGGAGAATTAATAGTATTGGAAGACTCGTTAGAAGTAGATGCAACGTTTCGTTCGATTAATTGCGGATGCTGTTATTTTATTTATTATCGCAAATTTTGCGAGACAAAATTAGTTTGGTTTTATGAAAGGTTTAAATCTAATGAAGGCCAAACAGATTTTTCATCAAACCATGATTGCGTAATTTGTCTAGAAAAATTAGAACGTAATTCAATTGTGCTAGATTGTAAGCACAGCTATCACAAAGTATGTATACGGAACTGGCTATTTCAAAATCAAACAGATTTTAGCCCTTGTCCTTTATGTCGAAAAGTAATATCCTCGCGGGTTATAAACTTAGGTGTTTTATCTAACACTCAAAATACGAAACTACAACGCCACTATATACCAGGTACCCACTGGTTAGTATAAAAACTCGTCATAACTGAAACAATAGTAAGTTTAAAAAATCGATAAATCTTTAGAATTACCTTACGATTGATTCTACAAAAGAATTTTTAACTTTAAAA